GGTTTGGGGGACCTTATGGGATATCAGCAATTGCTGGATTTTTTTTTCTTTTTTGGGTCACACCTGGCGATGCACAGGGCTTACTCCTGGCTCTACACTCAGGAGTTACTCCTGGCGGTGCTCAGGGTACCATATGGGATGCTGGGAATCAAACCCGGGTCGGTCGCATGCAAGGCAAATGCCCTACCCGCTGTGCTATCACTCCAGCCCCAGGATATCAGCAATTGAACCTGGGTCAGTCATGTGCAAGGCAAGTGTCCTACCTGCTGTACTGTCTCTCTGATCCAGAACAAAGTTTTGATACATTAAAAAGAAAAAGTAAATGATTCCCAAATACATGAAGAAGAAAGAAAATCAGACCATTTACAAAAGCACATGTTTTTTGATCCTATTTAGTTCTGGAATAGGCAAAGCTTATCTATAAACAGAAAGTAGAAGAGCGGGCACCTGGGGGGGGTGGTGTGGGAGCAACTGACTGGAGAGGGACATAGGGCCCCTCTTTGGGGTGATAGAAAAGTATCTGGATTGTGAGGATAATGTGCCTAACATCTGTTCATATGGCACCCTTCAATTGAGTCAAAAAGGATAATTATACAGTAGAAGAAGAAATTGGACTTTACATGGTGATGTTAATATAGATTATACGCATGTTGACTTTCTCTCTTAAAAAAGGAGGGGTAAAGGCACTTGCCTTGCATGAAGCTAACTGTGACTCAATTCCTGGAACCACCAGGAGTGACCCCTGAGCAAAGAGACAAGAGCATTGCTGGGTGTAGCCCCCTCCAAAAGCAGAAAGTAGGAGAGAGAGAGAGGACAGTCAATGCGGGGAGTGGCCATCAGGTAGGGTGGGGTGAGGAGAATTATAAATAAAAAGAAATTATGCACCTAGAGCTGGGACGCTGGTAATTAGAGAATGGAGTGTTCACACACAATGATGCTTACTTGAAAATTATGCTATAATGCGGTGTTACTCTATTTAAATATATATGTGTATTTTATATGTATAAGTATACATACATTTATGCAAGACATATATCATACCTGCTCTACTGTCTCTCCAGCCCCATAAAATCATATTTTAAAAGTAAGTGTGGGGCTGAGTAATAGTACTGTGGGGAGAGTATTTGCCTTGCACACAGCTGATATGAGTTTGATTACTTGAGCTTGCCAGGGGTGATTTCTTTTTCTTTAAAAAAAAATTTTTTTAAATAGGGGCTGGAGAGATAGCACAGCGGGTAGGGCATTTGCCTTGCATGAGGCACAACCCAGGTTCGATTCCCAGCATCCCATATGATCCCCCGAGTACCTCCAGGAGTAATTCCTGAGTGCATGAGCCAGAAGTAACCCCTGTGCATCACTGGGTGTGACCCAAAAAGCAATAAATAAATAAATAAATAATCATCGTTGGTCATCGTCATAATGGAAAAATCAAGTCAGGGAATCCCAGAGCCCCTCTATCGAGCGGGGAGGCTGGGCAGCACCTGTGGAGCTTCCTCAGAGTTGCTGAGTCACTCCAGGCCCACAGAAGCCTTCACAGGGATCCTGACCTCTCAGAGTTGCTGAGTCACTCCAGGCCCATAGAAGCCTTCACAGGGATCCTGACCCCTGCAACAAGGAGAGGGTAACTGGAAGCAGGGCTCCTGCCTGGAGCGGTCCATAGAAAGCAGGCAGGAGTCGAGGCCTTCTCTGCCGTCCCCTCTCCTGGAGGCGGGTGATCATCAGGGGTGACTTCTGAGTACCAAGCCTGGAGTAAGCCCTGAGCACTGCTGCATGTGGCCCCCAAACAAACAAAAAAAAAAGATAAAATAAAAGGAAGTGCATTTTGGGCTGGAGGGAACATACAGTGGTTAAAGTATTTGCCCTGCATGCAGAGCTGACCCCAACAGATATGGCCCTGAGCACAGCCAGGAGTGACCCCTGAGCACCAAGCCAGCAAGGACATGCTGAGTCCCGATGGGTGTGTCCCCCCACCAAAAAAAGTGCATTTCATTGCATATCTATTATTCTTAAAGTTAATTCCAAAACTCCAAGTAACAATAATAAGTAATATTCCTAAGAATAATGGTGATTAAAAACCGCTAAATTCACTGGTGTGAAAAATCTCTAAGATGTAACACTGCATTGTAGCACTGTCCTCCTGTTGTTCATCAATTTGCTTGAGCCGGCACCAGAACTGTCTCCATTGTGAGACTTCTTGTTACTGTTTTTGGCATATCGAATACATCACGCGGAGCTTGCCAGGCTCTGCCGAGTGGGCGATATACTCTTCATAGCTTGCCGGGCTCTCTGAGAGGGACGGAGGAATCCAAACCGGGTCATCCACAGTGCAAGGCAAACACCCTACCCGCTGTACTATTGCTCCAGTCCCTCCAAGATGTATTAACTAAAAATAAACGAAGGTGCAGAAAAATCTTAGTAAGAGAAAATAAAGTTCTGTATTGGTGTAGTATTGAACTTGGCTATGCATAAACTCGATTAAAAATCTACACAAAAGCTATCAAGAATGGCTTCCTGTTTAAAAAAATTTTTTTAAAAAGCTTCCCGTTTGGGGGATGAGTGGCTTGGGCTGGAAAGATGGAGTCAGCCGAGGTGGGCAAACTACCCCTGAACAGCATAGGCTATTTGGCGATGTTTGCATCAAAGGAGCGCAAGTTTCCCTCGCTGCGGTAACTCTTACCCCAGAGCCCACTGGAATCCCCTCCCTCCCCCCCCCGCAAACAAGATGTGCTTAAAAGTCCCTCACTCGGGGATACTCTCCACGCCCCCGCCCCCACCAAATTTACTAGAGAGAACACAAACAAGGCTTTTAAACAAGAAACAGATGTTGCTGGAGCTAAAAGGATCCCCCACGTCTCGGGGTCTAGGGTATTGTGCAATTCTTCCCCCCGGACTTTGCCTGGGACAAAGGGCCTCCACGTCCCGCTCTCATACCCCGGCCGCGCGCCCACCCACCCACCCCCGGCTCTGCCGGGCGCTGCGCCCCGGGACCTCTGCGCCCCTCGTTCCCCGCGGCGTGAGCGCCGGCGGCCAGGGCTGGAGCCGCTGCTCCCCGGAGCAGGCCGGTGCCCACCGCCCTTCCTTCTGATGCCCACCCCAGCACCCCGTGGGCATCCCAGCTCCATCCCATTCAGCTTCTCGCCAAGGCGCTGAGCAGGACTGGTGGGGAGACGGGCTCGGACGTTCTTCTCCGTGAGGGACCCCGGGCAGGGGCGCTCAGTGGGCAGAGCCAGGAAGTAACAGGTGGAGCTGAACCCCGTTTTCTGTCCCGCATCCCTGGAGGGTTCTGGCCCCGAGGGCACCCTCCCTCCTCCCCGCGGCGATGGGGTGCGGCCGCCTGCTCCCTCCCCGCCCCAGGAGGCCCCCAGGCACCCCCCGCCGCGCCCCTGCCGCGCCCTGCGCCCCTAGACGGCCGCTGGCCGGGCACGGTGGTCCTGGGGCCCCACGCTGGAGCGGGCGAGGTCGGGGCGCACGGCGGTGGGCTGGTGACGCCCGGCGGGCGTGCGGGGTCGGGAGGCGGGGATCGGCCGCGGTCCAGCCCGTTCGGGCCGGGGCGGAGCCGGCGCGGCAACTCCCAGGCGGAGGCGCTCGCAGCTATGGGCCGGGGGTCCTCGAGATGCCGAGGGTCTCCCGCGGGGCTGCTGCTGCAGCTGCTGCTGCAGCTGCTGCCGCTCCTCCGGCTCTCTGGGCCCGCTGAGACGTTTCCAGGTGAGGACGCGGGCTGGGGGCGCGTCCCCAGGGTCGGGCGAGGTCCCAGACCCGGGATGGACCGTCTTGAAACGCTGGGGCAAAGGCCAGCAAAAGCCCTGGGAGCCGCTGAACTCGGGCGGCCCTTGGGTGGGGGGGTCCACACGGGCACACTGCGGTGGCAAAGCAGAGGGGCCGACCCTCCCACGCCTCTGGCCACCCCAGGTCTCCCCCACCTGTGAGAGGGCCCTCGGGAAGCCCCCGGGAGCCCGGCTCCACGCTCGCGCTCCCGATGCGATGGTGTGTGGCCGGTTGCCTTGTTTGGTGAGGCAGAGCCCGGTGGCTTCCAGAGAAGACTCTGCACCCGCCTTCCCCAGAGCCTCTCCAGGCCCTGACAGGGCCATGCCCGGACCCCCACTCCAGGGGGATGCGGGGCTGGCCAGGGGACAGGGAGGACTGGCAGCGGTGGGGGGGGGTCTGGGGGCTTCCCCTAGCGGTTGGGAGTCTCGGGCTCTGTTCTGGGCCCCAAGGAAAGGGCCCCCAGGCCCCCAGAGACTTCCTTGTCCAGGCTGACTGGTGTCTGGCCACAGAGAGTGAAACTTGAGAGGGGGGATTGTGGCCCCCAACATTAGACAACCCCCCACCCCCCACTTCTTTTCCCTTGTCAGTGCTAACCCGCAGGATGCAGGGCTTGGGGCTCCCTCCGCACACCCAACCCCCCCAAACACACAACAAGCACACCCTCTTCTCCTAGCCCTGGGGGCCTGGGGGCAGACAGCACTCAGATAAGTTGTTCCAGAGCTGTGCACTCCTCTCCCCCCACGGCTGTGTGCTCAGTGGCTGTTCACTCAAGGAAGGCTTCCTGGAAGCAGAGGGCTGCTGGAGCTGCCGGTATTCCAGGCCTTTGATGGTGGAGCCTGTGAAAGGAGGCAGGAGCTGTGTACTCTGGGCCTGTTCTGGCCAGGGCTGGGTCAGGGCGAGGTAGGGGTGGGAAGTGGCCTCCCCCAGGGTCCCAGTGCCTGGACCAGAGGCCTTGAGATCTGCTTCCCACTGGCGGGTGTGGTGAGACGGGCGGGGGGTGGGGTGGGGGTGGGAGCATTCCAGGGGAGCATTCCAGCTGTCTTCTGAGTAACGCTTGGCTCTGGTATTCCTCCTGGAACAACTGTCCCTGCCTGGGAGGACTGAGGCTAGCCCTCTCCACGCCACCCGTTCCCCCTGCCCGAGGCATGGGGAGAAGAGGGCTTCTAGGTCAGGGAAGCACCCCCTCCCCCCACCCTGCCTCCTCTATGAAGCCCTCAGGGAGTGCCCTGGGCTCGATGTCCCTGCTGAACAGCAGCTGGTTGCTGTTTGTCTCAGAGAACAGGGAGCACGGAGCATCTTCTGGGTCTAAAAATACCCCAGGCTGCTTCCCCCTTGGCCACCCCCTGGTGAGGGTCACTTGAACTCCCACAGTGGCCCCAGTTGAAAGGTCTTTTCCCAGGTGCCTCTTCTACCACGCAGGCTCCCTGGATGCCCACCTCTGGGTGCTGCAGGGGGGCCCTGACCGACCTCTCAGCAGGATTCTCATGCCCTATCCCTCTGCCCCCCTCCCCTGTGCTCTCTCCTCCCCCAGGAAGCAGCTCTGGAGAGCCAGTCACGCTTCGCTGGGTCCCGGATGGCCGAGCTGGGCGTGTGGTCACGGCGAGAGAGCCGGTCAGTGCCCTGCGTCCTCACTCTCTGTGTGCCCAGGTGATCCCAGTCACTCGCCCCCTCTTCGCTGCCCATGATCAGGTCCCCAGATCTCCCACGCCCTTCCAGGTTGGGGGACGGGGACAAGTTGGGCATGAGTCTCACACATGGAACTCGTTTCCGGGCTTCCTCTCCACGCCCCTCGTCCTTCCCTTCCCAGAATTATCCACCCACCCTCAACTCTGCCTCTGCCAACACCCGCCCATCCAGGCATTTTGTTTGTTTGGGGGCCACACCCAGCTGTGCTCAGGGCTTACTCCTTGCTTTGTGCTCAGGGATCGGTCCTGGAGGTGCTTAGAGGACCCTGTGGGGTGCTGGGGATCAAACACAGGTTGCTTGCCTGCAAAGCAAGCACTGTTCCGACTGAACATATGTTAAAAAAAAATGGAGGGGGTTGGGCCAGAGATATAGTATAGCAGGTAGGGCACTTGCCTTGCACGCATTTGACACAGGTTCAATCCCTGACACCCCATATAGTCCTCGAGCATTGCCAGGAGTGCTCCTGCGTGCAGAGGCAGGAGTCAGCCTTGAGCACTGCTGGGTGTGGCCCTGAACCCAAAATAAATATTTTTGGGTTTTTTATTTTTTTGGGGGGAGGACACACCTGGTGGTGCTCAGGGCTTCCTCTAGGCTCTGCATTCAGGGCTCCTTCCTGGTGATGCTCGGGGAATCATATGGGATGCCAGGGATGAGACCTGGGTTAGCCGCATGCAAGGTAAGTGCTCTCACCAACCTCTGCCAACCCTGTGCATCAGGGAAACATGGAAAAGGGCTGGAGTGCTGATGCAGGAGTCCACGTGGTGGGGAGTGGCCCAAACCCTTCAGTGGGAGTGACCTTCGAGTCCCAGTACTGCCAGGTATGGCCCAAAGTATAAAAATGAAAGAGCCAGAGAGATGGTCCAGGAGTTTAGGCACTCGCCGGGCACATGGCTGACCTGAGTTCCATCCCCAGAAACCCATAAGGTCCCCTGATTCCTACCAGGGGTGATCCCTGAGCACAGAGCCACGAGTAAGCCCTGAGCACTGATACATGTGGCCCCCAAACAAATCAAATAAACAAAACATAAAAGATAAACACTAAAAACATTGTGCAGAGTTTCCCAGCACATATGGCCCTGTAGACTCTGTAGACCTAGCTGACCTCCCTGAGGCACTGCCTCAGGGGGACCAGCACTTAACTCGCTGGCACAGCAGAATCCACCCTGGCCGGGCATGGGGCACTCCCCTCCTGCAAGTCCCCTCCACTTTGCCTCTCCAGAGCACTCTGCCTTCTCCCAGGGCCCACCTACCCAGAATACCTGTGCCCAGTGGGTGTCTGCTCCATAGTGTGCCCATTTCACGGTTGGACAGACTGATACTCCACAAGGCCATGCAGCTCTTGAGCCCAGAAGCCTGAGGACTTACTTGTTGAGGAACCTGAGAGACTTCAGATACGGGCTAGTATCCCCAGACCTAGAAGTTCCTCCTCATCCTACTTTTGTGTTGTTTGGAGTCACATCCAGTGGTGCTCAGGGATCACTCCTGGCTCTGCGCTCAGGGATCACTCCTGCTGGGGCTGGGGGGGCGGGGGGGGGGGCATATGCGGTGCTGGGTATTGAACCTGAGTTGGCTGCATAAAGGCAAGTGCCTTGCCCACTGTATTGTTGCTCCCGCCCCATTAGTCTGAATTCTCATGCAAATTCTCATTCACATCCTTCAAGCCCTTTGAAGGTTGGATAAATTGGGTCCAGCAGCCCCCAATCTAGGATCCTCCCGGGATGCCCCAGGCTGCTGGGATCCCGAGTCTAACAAAGGAGGGTCCCAGGCTTTGAGGTAGACATTCCTGGCAGAGGAGAGGCTGGATCCGGGCTGGAGTCCCCCTGCCTGTGGACTTTACTCCTATTCTGGCCTGGAGGTGACCAGCAGGGACTCCCTGATGAGCCAGAGTCTCCCCACCTCAAGGCCTGTCCAGCCCCTGGACCCCTGCCAAGTGAAGGCAGCAGATGGGAATGCAGGGAGTCTTATCTTAGAGACAGGAGACACCTACATTCAGGGTCAGGGATGGGGCTCAGAGCGAGGATCTCTGGGACTGCGAGCAGGAAGTGAGGCGAGCAGGGGCTGCAGGGGTGCAGGGGAAGAGGCGGCCTGGCGGGGGAGCCGGAAGCCATCCATCCATACCTCCACGCCTCCGTCCAGCTGGGCCACAGCCTTTCCCTCCGTGTGCATCTCTTTCCAATCAAGCGAGTGGCATTCTGGCCACATGAGCTCATGCTCTGGGGGCCCTGGGCTGTGGAGCAGGGGGGTCTGGAGCTGCCTGTTCCCCACCTGCAGAGGAAGAGCCCCTCTCTCCCACTCGGAGCCCCTTGCTTGGCCTGTGGCCCAGCTCAGTGCATGGTGGGAGGCAAAGGCGGGGCCTTTGTTTTGAAGAAGCAGCTGCTCTCTAGGACTGGGGGGCTACTTCCCACACTGAGAAGCTGTGTAGGGAGAGGGGTGGGGGAGCAGATTATCTCGGGGGGGGGGGGGGTTGGGGGAAGAGGCATAGAAGAGGAGAGAAAGGAGAGGCCGGCAAGCTGGCCTGGGTCGCCCTTCCACTCGAAGCTCTGGAAGCTTCTGATTGATTCTTGGCAGGGGTAATATGGGGAGTCCACATTTATTTTGTGGGTTCAGTAAACGAAGTGTGGGATGGGCCTTCTGGGGACCAAGGAAAATTGGGGGAAGGGGCAGTTTGTCAGAATTGGAGGTAGAGGAATAAGTCTGAATTCTACAGGAAGTGGGGTCTGGTGACTTCGGGAAACAAGGGGCAGAGATGGCCCGGTGGGGACGGTACTTGCCTTGCACGCAGCCAACTCTTGTTAGATTCCTGGCACCACATCTGGCCCCTTGAGCACCACCAGGAGTGACTCCTGAGTGCAGAATCGAGAGTTGCCTTTGTGCCCTGCCAGTTGTGGACCCTAAACCCAAAATAAATAAAATTCCATATCCATTTGGGGCTGGAGAGATAGTGCTTGCCTCGAATGTGGCCTACCTGGGTTCAATCCCCAGTACCACGTATAGTCCTCTGAGCACCACCAAGGGTCATGTCTGAGCACAGAACCAGGAAGAGCCCCTCCTGGCGTGGCCCCCAAACCCCAACCTCCCATCCCCAAATAAAGAACTGAGCTCTCCAATATAGAACCCCAGCTTCCAGGCACTTGGCATGATGTCATCAGGTCCTCGCTGTCATCTGCTTGGGGCAGCTGTCTGCACAGGAGGGAGAGAGTAGAAACAGGGGTGGCCCTCGGGCAGGTTGAAACCTTGCTTGAGCTCATCTCTAGGCAAAATGTGGGGTGCCCCTCACAGGATGCGGCACATGGCCGTTATGCCACCAACACCCTGAGTCTAAACACATTTTTGTCTCCATGCCTTGGGAACAGACGGTGAGCAGGCTGTGTCACCTTTTTCTCCCTACCTCTCCCTCCCCAAAGTCCCTTGCCTATCAGTTGCGCCTTCCCAGTGCTCCCTGGCAGGCAGAACCCCAGAGCGGGCATCTCAGCTCTGCCCCCTCTTGCTCAGGTCCCAAGGCTGGTGGCGGTGCAGGTGGAAGGTCAGGAGCTCTTGCTGGAGCTGGAGAGGAACAGGTGAGCTCCAGACTGGAAAGGGGTTTGGGGCCAAGAACCCTCTCCCTGTGGGGCAGGGCATGGGGATCAGGGGACAGGGCTTGGTCCTAGGGGTGGGACCAACAGGAAACCCATAAGGGAAGCCAGCTGGACTGTAGGTCTTGAGAAGGTGCAGATGGCAGGGAGGGTCACCCCGGCCCATGCCTGAGTCCTTTGCGGGGGTTCAAGTGGACTGTTGAGGCTGGACTTCCCTGCAGGGGGCATAACTCTCATCCTGTACTCAAGAACATCTTGGCAGTTTGGGAATAAGGGAGCATGTCCCCATGGGTCTCATAGGGGGTGCTGAAGCAGGAGAGAACCCATCAGAGATGGGCGGGCGCTCCAGGCAGAGGGGATGGCGGGGACCAAGGTACAGTGACCACAAAGAATAGGGCAGCAATTTGTCTAGTCTGTCTAAAGGGAAGCTTGTGGGAAATGAATCTGGAGAGTCCTCAGAAATAGCTCACAGATGGCTTCTTGTGTGCTGAGCCCCAAACTGTTTGGGGCGGGGAGTCCAGGATAGAGCACAGAACCCAGAAACCACCCCGGATGGTTTAATTTCTCCAAATAGGATTTTCCACAGTTGTGTCTTCACAGGCACTGGTTTCATAGCAGACACCCGTGTCAACATTTCACATGTTTTATCTCTCCTCCCGAGTCAAACTCTAGCCCCCCACCCCCCACCATGTACCCGAGTTTCTTCGGAGCTAATTGTTTCCATGAATTAAATGGGGTGACCCCATCAACTATTCTTGGAGTCAGAGTAACAAAACTGGTAAAGGTGGAGGAAGCTGGGGTGGAGGAGGGAGAGTAGAGGTCATGTGGGGGGTGACTGGGGGTCGAGAGGTTATGAGGAGAGAGGTGTAAAGGTTTTCTTGAAAGGTCATAGATTGGTGATTGATCTGTCTTAGTGGTGGGATCCCAGTGAGTGAGGCACAGAAATGGAATCATTACTGGAGAGGTTTCTGGACTCGGAGGGGGGGGGATGAGGGTCTCTGTGGGGCTGGGGGTGGGGGTGAATCTCTGCTCAGGTGGGCAGGTATGGATTGTATTACTTCAGGAAGCAGAGGGGAAACATCCCTGAAGGTCAGTGGTGTCCTGAGGCCAGAGGCAATGGGGAAGATCTTGGATCAGTGAGGCTGGAGGGTTGAGGGTTGACCAGATGTCCAATAAGACTAGGCAGCAGGCAGGGGTTTAGTATATCTCTTTGACCCTCCTCCCCCATTCTTAGGCTGTATCTCTCTCTCTCTCTCTCTCTCTCTCTCTCTTTCTTTTTGGGACATACCTGGCAATGCACAGGGGTTACTCCTGGCTCATGCACCCGGGAATTACTCCTGGCGGTGCTCGGAGGACCATATGGGATGCTGGGAATCAAACCTGGGCCAGCCGCATGCAAGACAAATGCCCTGCTCACTGTACTGTCGCTCCAGCCCCTTAGGCTGTATCTCTTGAACCCTCTCCTGCCTGGCTTTTCTCTATCGCTGTAATCTGTGAATTCAGCTGCTGTCCCACAGGGACCACAAGCTCTGTGTATGTGAGTGCGTTTGTGTGTTAATATGTGTGCATGTGCATTTGTGAATATATTCATGAATGTGTGCTTATGTGCATGTGTACAGGTGTATGTGTGTGAGTGCATGTGTATGTGAGTGTATATGCATGTGTGCGTGGGATTGAGTGTGTGCACACTGTGAGTTTGTGCTGTGTGTATGTGTGCAGTGTGAACATGTGAATGTATACATGCCGGTGTATGTGTATATAAATATGTGTATATCCATGTCTGCATGAGTATGTGTGTGTTTGTGTGTATGTATATTCATGTATGTGTAAGAGCATGTGTTTATATATATGGTATATGTGTGCATGTGAGTGTGTATGTGCATGTAGTTTGTTCTTGTGTATATAAGTCAGTGCATGTGTATGTGTGTATGTCTCTGTGTGCATGTACATGTTGTAAATGTGCATGAGTGTGTGTGATGTGTGTTATATGTGAGTGTATGTATGTGTGTGCATGTGTATGTGTGCACACACATGTGCACGTGTATGTAGTGAGCGTGTACATGTGCATGTGCGTGCATGTGTGTGAATGTGTGACTATGTATCAAACCCAGGTACTGTGCGTGCAGGGCATGTGCTTTATGGTTGAGGCACATTCTTGCCCCTTAGGGACCATAAAGTCTTCCTCTGTTCCCACTCCCGCCTGGGTTTCCCACACTCCAGCTTCCCACAGGGAACCATCAGCAGGGCTTCTCCCTGCCCTTCACCATTTGCCTTCTGGCCTAAGAGTTCCCGAGCTGAGCAACACAGTCTCTGTAGGCTGATGCCTGGCTCAGAGCTGCTCCAGAGCACGAGGGAGGGAGGTAGGAGGGCATCCTAGAGGAGGCAGGGCTGGATTGGGCGATTCCTCCAACACCCCCTCCCAGCAGGCTACTGGCCCCAGGATACACAGAAACCCACTACAGCTCAGCTGGGCAGCCAGTGGTGCTGGGCCCCCACCACACGGTGAGATACTCCCAGGGGCTCTGAAGACAGGGTGAGGGGTGCCCCCCGCCAGCCTCCCCACTATTTCTGCCTCTCTCCTCATGTTTTGAAGGAGAGTCTAAGACCAGTCCAATGCCCCCTGCCCTCTCTCTTGCCCCACCCTCTTCAGCCCTGGCTGAAATTTGAGGCTGGACCCCTGTTCTTCAGGATCATTGCCACTATCGTGGGCGAGTGAAGGGCTTCCCCGACTCCTGGGTAGTCCTCAGCACCTGCTCTGGGATAAGGTGAGGGGTTCTGGGGGAGGGGGGCTGGAGCTGGGCCTGGGGGAGTAGCCCCCTCACACTCTCCTCTGTACCCCTCTGCACCCTAGAGGTCTGATCTCACTGGGCAGCAATGTCAGCTATTATGTGCACCCCTGGCCGACCAGAAACTCGGAGGATTTCTCCACCCACAGGATCTTCCGAACCCAGCAGCTGCTCAGCTGGAAAGGGGCCTGTGGCCATGAGGATCTGGAGAACAAAGAGGACATGGCCAGCGTTTCCTGGGACACCCTGATCAGGGTCAGGGGCCCTGGCAGGGGTGGGCATGGGAATGCAACCTCCAGATCAGTAGTTACAGGAATGTCCAGGTATTCTGACCATAGGTTTTTATCTGGAGGAAGAAGAAAGAGATTTTAGCACAATTCTGAAGGAACTCTGTTCTTTCAGGAATGGGGCTTTTTGTAGGGGCTTAATGAAGCAGCCCTCCACTCAGGGTCACCCTTGCCTCTTCCCAGGAAAGGAGAGAAGTGCTCAGGACCCGGAGATACCTGGAGCTGTACCTGGTAGCTGACCACACTCTGGTGAGAGGAGATTCAGGGGCCTTGGAGGGAGGGGGAGAGTATTGGGGAGTGCAGCCCCTCAGGCCGTGACACTGCTGCCTTTCCAGTTCTTGGTCCAGGATCGGAACTTGAACCGCACCAAGCAGCGCCTCTTGGAGGTCGCCAGCTATGTGGACCAGGTTGGGAATGGAGCCTTAGTGGGAGACGGACGGGGCAGGTCCTGGCGGGAGGCACTTGGCTTGGACATGGGGAGGATGCCCAGAGGAGAGCCCCACGATACAGGTAATCTCAGGACTGGTCCTCGGCTTCACCCCACCCTCACCCTCGGCTTCCACTCTACCCTCACCCTGCACCCCCAGATTCTCCGAACTCTGGACATTCAGGTGGCGCTGACCGGACTGGAAGTTTGGACTGAGCAGGACCAGAGTCAGATCACGCCGGATGCTAATGCCACGCTGTGGGCTTTCCTGCACTGGCGCCGGGGTCTGTGGGCGCGGCATCCGCACGACTCGGCCCAGCTGCTCACGTGGGTTCTCTGACCCTGCGCGGGTTCGGGGCGGGTGGGCCCAACGCCCTGGCCCCGCCCTTCCAAGCACGATTCCATTCACTTCCCCAGACCTCGCCCAGGACCCGCCCATTCCCTCCAGGACCCGTCCTTGACTCCACCCCATTCACAGTTCTCTTGGTTCCTCCCCTTCTAGTCCCGCCCACCCTAGGCTCCGCCCCAGGCTCCGCCCAATCCCCACCCGCCCGTTTCCTACGGACCCGCCCTAACACCCTCCCCTGACTCCGCCCTATTCGCCGCCCTCTTGGTTCCTCCCCATTACCGGCCTTTCTAGTTCCGCCCACCCAGGCCCCGCCCCAGGCCCCGCCCAATCCCCCCGCCCTCCAGGCCCCGCCCCTCAAAGCCCCGCCCCAGGCCGGGCCAAGGCCCCGCCCCTGCCCCGCCCACCTCGGGTTCTGCCGAAGTCCCGCTCCCCATCTCAACAAGCTGCCCCCCGCAGGGGTCGCGCTTTCCTGGGTGCCACCGTGGGCCTGGCCCCAGTCGAGGGCATGTGCGGCGCCCTGAGCTCTGGAGGTGTGAGCATGGTGAGCGCGCCCGGGGTCAGCACGGGAGCCGCTGGGCCCGGCGCGTCCCCCGCAGCCTGCGTTGATGGTCCCCTCCTCTACCCTCTCCAGGACCACTCTGAGCTCCCCCTGGGCGCCGCGACCACCATGGCCCACGAGATCGGCCACAGCCTGGGCCTCAGCCACGACCCGGACGGCTGCTGCGCCGAGGCCTCGGCGGAGCAGGGCGGCTGCGTGATGGCAGCGACCACGGGGTCCGTCTGTGAAGTGGGGGCGGCTCCGGCGATTGCGTCTGAGCCCGGGGAAAGAGGGGACACGGGCGGGGCGGGTGCTTGACAGCGCGAGGGGGACTTTTGTACCTCCCGGGGGTGGGGGGGAAGTAGGGGGTGACGCCCACCCTTGCAGTGACCACGCTGGCACAGGCTTCGACCTGGGCTCTGTCGCTTGGGAGTTGGCCCGGGTCGCTGGGCCTCCCCAGGCTCTGCCTCCCAAGCCTCGGAGCCGCTGGGGGTGCGGGGCGGAGAGGTGGCGGTGGGGGCGGAGGGGAGGTCGGAGGCCCTCGTGGGGCTTTGGTCCCGCACGCCCGACACTCTCCCGGCCCCCTAGGCACCCGTTCCCGCGCGTGTTCAGCGCCTGCAGCCGCCGCCAGCTGCGCGCCTTCTACCGCAAGGGGGGCGGCGCGTGTCTCTCCAACGCGCCCGACTCGGGGCTCCTGGAGACGCCCGCGCGCTGCGGGAACGGCTTCGTGGAGGAGGGCGAGGAGTGCGACTGCGGCCAGGTCAGGGACGTGGAGGTGGGGGTGGGGGCCAAAACCTTCCTCACAGCCCTTTCCCACGAGGTCTGGGCGCTGCACCCTCACCGGTTCCCTCCGGGGTCTCTCCCGCCCTAGGAGTGCCCCGACCCCTGCTGCCTGGCGCACAACTGCTCTCGGCGTGCGGGGGGCCCAGTGCACGCACGGAGACTGCTGCGCGCGGTGCCTGGTGAGCGCGCGGGGAGTGTGGGTTGGGGGGGTTCCTGGGTGCCGGCTTGTGGATCTTGGCTGATTGGCGCCCTCCGGGCCCACCGCGGGTGCTGGATCCGCGCGTCGCTCCCGCCTCCTCCGACGGCGCGTGCGGGTGCCTCACTGCCCTCCTTCTCCCGCCGGCCCGCCGCCCCCCTCCTCTCTCTCTCCCCTTCAGCTAAAGCCGGCTGGCGCGCTGTGCCGCCGAGCTGCGGGCGACTGCGACCTCCCGGAATTCTGCACGGGCACCTCCCCATACTGCCCCCAGGACACGCATCTGCTGGACGGGTCGCCGTGCGCCAGCGGCCGCGGTTACTGCTGGGACGGCGCGTGCCCCACACTGGCGCAGCAGTGCCATCAGCTCTGGGGCGCAGGTGAGACGGCGCCACCCACGGGTCGGCTCAGCTTGCCCCTGCCCGGAGGGTGTTCTGGGGTGGAAATGAACTGGATGGAGCCAGGGGCGCGTCCCTATGACCCTCGGTCCCACGCTTTGCTCGTTCAGGCTCGCGCCCAGCCCCGCAGGCCTGTTTCCTGGCGGTGAACTCGGTGGGCGACGCCCACGGGAACTGTGGCCCGGATAGCACGGGTGGCTTCGTGCCCTGCGCGGAGAGGTGTGAGTGGAGCCGAGGGAAGGGGACGCTGGGGAACAAGGTGGGACATAAGGGACTCCCCTCCCCGCTGACGTTCCCGCAAGTTGTTTGACTCCCTCCTCTTGGTCTCCAGGGATGCGCAGTGTGGGAGGCTCCAGTGCCAGGGCGGGGAGCCCACCCCGCTCCTGCCCTACACTGTGTCTGTGGATGCCACCGTTCAAGCAAATGGCCGGGACATGTCCTGCAGGGGCGCTTTGGTGTTGTCCGGTGCCCAGCTGGACCTGCCTGATCTGGGTGTGGTAGAGCCTGGTACCCCTTGTGGTCCTAGAATGGTGAGCTTGACCTTTCTTCCTGCCCATCCAGTCCTGGAGGCCAAAGCCTGGCTTCTCTCACTTCCGGTGCCCCTCTCCCTCCCCCCAGGTGTGCCAGGATAACCGCTGCCAGAATGCCACCTTCCAGGAGCTGGAGCGCTGCCTGGCCTCCTGCCACGGTCACGGGGTGAGTGGCCAGAAAATGGGGGGGAGAGCCGTGAGCGCTGGTGTCCTGGGACCCTCCTGTCTCTTCTCTGCAGGTCTGCAACAGCCACCAGCACTGTCACTGCGCGCCAGGCTGGGCACCACCCTACTGCGACAAGCCAGGGACTGGCGGCAGCGTGGACAGTGGCCCAGTGAAGCCTGAAAGTAGGCTGGTCCCCGGGGACAGTGGGGAGGCGCTGGGGTGGCCTGCCCGCTGGGGACTCAGCCCCCTGCCCTGTCCTCTGCGGATACAGGTGGAGCCTCCTTCCTGCTGGCCGTGAGCCTGAGCTTCCTGCTGCCTCTGCTGCCCGGGGTGGGCCTGGCCTGGTGCTGCCGCCGCCGCCCGGGATGGTGCCTCTGTGGCTCCCAGCGGGCCTCCCCATGCAGCCGGTAGGCCCTGAGGGCGACTGGTCCTGCACCCCACAGCTCTGCCAGGCAGAGACAGCTACAGTGGGGTGCTAGGGCTGCCCTTGGGTGTGGAGAGATAGGAGGGAAAGACAGAGGGAAAGAAGGCCAGAGCAGGAGGCCCTTAAGTGTCCCCCAAACAGCCGAGCCACCACGGCCCTCCTGACTGCGCTCCTGCCCTCCTGTCCAGCCTCTTTCCCTCCCTCCTTGCCTGTGTCCCATGTGAGCTGGCCTGACCTTGGGAGTGCCCCCGGCATGCTGAAAGAGGGCACTAAGTGGTCCCAGCAGAGCCTGAGCACAGAACTAGCTGGTCAGCTTGACCAAGTATCCCCAGGGGTGACCCCAGGCCACCTGAGCACCACTTGGGAGGGTCCCTCCACAAAAGTAGGCTTCTAAATAGCTCATGGGTCGAAGTAGAAACTGTATGGGATGTCTTAGTTTATTTTTGGTTTGGGGGTCGTACTCAGCAGTGCTCAGCTACCATTGGGGGTGGAGGGGGCCCCCCTCTTTGGGATCCAAGTGATACCAACATCTGGAGGGTGCCACGAGGCTTGTGAGGCATGCCAGGACAGGGAGAGAGCCTGCTGGCACTTCTGAGGTGGGGGAGTCTCCAGTGTCGACTGAATTCTCCCCTCTCCCCCCCACCAGGGGCTCCACAGAAAGGGAGCCAGGAAGAGTGAGATGCAGGGGAAGGACCCGGGGCTGGCCGTCCTGGGTCTCATCCCAGAGACATTGTTCTCCCCCACCCTTATCCTCTGTTCAGGCCCAAAGATGGCTGCCATGGGGCAGACTCACAGCCCAGTGCTCACCCTATGGAGTCTGCTCCCAGCACAGTTACTGTTCCTGAGTCAGGCTCAGGAGGTGAGTGAGCTGCAGTGGGGAGAAGTAGGGGGGCCTTTTGCCTCCTCTTCTCCATTCAAGCAACCCCCCAGCCTCGATTGCCTCCTGCCGCCTGACTCCTGCCCACTGTGCCGGCAGGAACCACACTCCACCCTTGCTCCCGGCCCCTCGAGGATGCAGCTGGATCCCAGGAGCCGCCTTGAAGCCCACGTCCTGTCTGCACGCCAAGAGTAGGTGGGGGCGTGGTGGGGCGCCTCATCCGCTGCTCATGGTCCGCCCCTCCCATACCCTGTCTGGCCTTGCACTGAAGGATCTTGCTTACAGTTGGGTTAGTGCGGAAATGAGACACAACCTGTAGGAGGCGCTGTTGGGCCCAGTGGCTGGCAACCCTGGGGTGGGAGAAGGAGACATGAAGTCCTCCTAGGCCCCTGTGTTTGTGTGTGTGTATGTGTGTGTGTGTGTGTGTGTGTGTGTGTGCGCGCGCGCACATGGTTGGTGGGGTGTATGGACAGTGGTCTGGTGAGGCAGTGGGTGGAGGACAGAGGGTCTCGGCCCTCAGGACCACCTTTCTCCCCTCCATTCCCAGCAGCTCCGGAGATGCCACTTGACCTCAGTGGCCCCATTTGCCTCCAGGAACAAGAACAGACACTCCAAGATCCTGAACCCCGGGGCCGAGACAGCTTCTTCCCTGACCTTTGTTCCACCCTCCTGGACCCCAGAGCCTCATGGGAACTGACCTCCTGCTGTCCCTCTTGCTTAGGGCCGGGGACTCTGCTTTGTCCCCTTCTCTTCACGGCCCCTCAGTCCTAGAATTGTCTGGTTCCGGACCTAGGGAGGCTAGTCACGCTGGTACCTGGAGTGGTGTTTGCCTGGGGGAGCTAGGCCACTGAGGCTGTAACCCCATGGCCGGGAGCCAGACTGCACCCCCACTGCCTTGGAGCCCGGGCCCTCAGCAAGCACGCTGGTGTCCTTCCTTCTCACCACCTCCTTGTCCAATCATGCCTCAGCCTCATTGTCCCCCTCCTTGCCCCCAGCCCCCACCCCCTGTACTCCACCCAAGATTCTGGGATCAGCGTGGCTCCATTTTAGAAAGACTTTGTGAGAGGGCCTGGAGATAGTATTGTGGGTAGGGCACTTGCTTTGGATGCAGCCAACTCAAGGTCAATCCCCGGCACCCCATATAGTCCTCTGAGCACCGCCAGGAATGGTTCCTGAGCACTGAACCAGAAGTAATCCTTGAGCATCACCAGGTGTGCCCCGACTCCCCCCCACCCCAAAAAAAACAACAACTTTGTGAGAACTGTTTTAGAAAGACTCTAATCTAACACAGGGGACAGAAGGCTCCCACGCAGCTTGGAAGCTCTGTGAGGTTCTTCCCTGTGCGATATCTCCTATGTGCTCCCTGAGGGCTATGGCACGTGGGAGGCGGATGGTACCCCAAGTTGAAACAGTCCCAGTGGTTGCTTCCCACCAGAGGTGCTGAGCGATTCTCTACCAGTTCATCATTTCTGTTTAAGAAAACCAAACTCGGGGCGCATATGCTGCCTGAGCCCTTGTGCTGCTTGCGCCCACGTGGCCGAGCACATGTGGGCTGAGCACATGTGTCGCCCGCATCTCCCCTCTTGAGATGTGTACTTTCATGCTTTTCTGTCTAATGCTAGAATGTATGTAGGGGCTCTCTCTCTGCCCTTGGAGAAGCCCGTGTTCTCTCTTGAGTACGTTACTCTCTCACTCTCACTCTCTCTAAAACCTCCAAATAAAATATATTTATTAAAAAAAAAAAAAAACCAAACTCAGGGCTGGAGCGATAGCATAGCAAGTAGGGCATTTGCCTTGCACGCTGCCGACCCAGGTTCGATTCCCAGCATCCCATATGGACCCACAAGTACCACCAGGAGTAATTCCTGAGTGCAGAGCCAGGAGTAACCCCTGTGCATCGCTGAGTGTAACCCAAAAAGAAAAAAAAAACAAAGAAAACCAAACTAGACTCAGAAGCACATGAAATGTATGACTCGATCCTGGTTCAATTCCTAGAACCCAGGCACCCCCCCCCCCCCAAACATCGCTGCTGTAGCCCCTGGAGGCCTCAGGCACTGCTAGCTGTGGCCCTGGAGACCTTTGAGGATTGCGGGCACAGCCCTTGTGGTCCCCATACTGCAGGCCAGAGCAGTGAGCTATTGGCCCAGTTGACTGAGTACCACTGGGAGTGGGCCCGGTACCAATGAGAACTACTTGGGAACCCCTGTGCCCCCTAAAAAAGAAAACCAAACAAATTTAGTGGCTTAAAACAACGACTGTGGACTGGAGAACTCGCATGGGGTTCAGGAACCTGCCCCAGTTCCATCCCCTGTACTGTATCTGGTCCTCCGGGGGTGGCCTGGATAAACCCCCCCCCTCACAACTCACTGCAGAACCCAAGTTGCACTGTATCCCCGGGTCCTCAAACTGAACCACTGGAGGGGCCCTGGGACCCCCTGAGCACTGCTTGGGAGACCCCTTCAGGAAAACAAAATCAAAACCAACAAAATCAATTGCTTATGTGACCTGGTAATTCAGTTCGAATGCAGGGATGATCTGTGGGTCTTGGCTGGGCTCCCGTGCAGATCTGCAGCTGCTGCAGTCAGTGAGGTGGCTCTGGCTAGGGTGGCGGGGAAAAACAGGTGATGTGTCTCATTTCCAGCTATCTAGCCAGGACTGTTCCGGGGCTGGGGAGGGTTCCAAGACAGCAGGAGGCCAAGGAAAGCACTCGAAGGGCTGGAGCTTGGCTTGCCTGCAGGAGGACCCAAGTTTGATTCTCAGGGCCACATGATTCTGTCCCTCCTTCAGCTACCCAGGTGATGCCCCCCCACCCCCACACAGCCAGGCCTGAGCACCAAGATGGCTGAACATCACTGGGAGTGATCCCTGGGCCCCAATATCGCTGGGGAGCTGTCAAAACAACAATCAGAGATGGATCTGGATGAAGAGGAAGTGAGACGTTTACTCTGAGTGTAAAGGAGTAATGAGGTTCAGAATAAGAGAAGGAACACATGGAGGGTGCGGGATCCCGGAGGAAAAGAAAAAAGAAAAAACAGGTTCCAAAAAGAGCCGAGAGCACCGGCAAGTTCCAGATGGAGTAGGCGCCGCATCCCGCCTCCCCCAGATGGAACCCTGGTGACCAGAAGCCTCTACAAACACAGCTCGAGTATGCGGGAACGAGGACTTTTTCTCAAATCTGCCAGACTACACCTCCCAGGTAACCTCTGATCCCGGAAGTCACGCCCACAGCCCGCCCCCCAGCGCCATCTTTGAAACGTTCAGAATAAGAGAAGGAACACATGGAGGGTGCGGGACATCTCTCTATATACAAAGTGATCAATGAGAAGTAAACCACCCAATCTTTCTCCCTGAAAATCAGAGTTAAGTTTGGAGCATGGCCACAGCCCCAGAAACACAAGGACTTAATGCAGAAACCAGCAGCTTAGAGCAGAAAAGTGAACGGACGATGAGTTAACCCAGGCCATCATTTCTGCCCAGAGGGGAAAAGGGTGTTGCCCCATTCGCCCTCTCTTCTCTGGAAAGAAGGATGGCGGCCGCATGGGAGCCTTGTGGACAGCAGGTATGAGCCGGGGGTGTGGGGGCGACTAAAACCTCATGGGAAGGTGGGTGTTCCGGTCCGTCCTTCACGCCCTACCGAGGTCACCAGTTGCCCCCCACGAGCGGCTCTCCAGCACGGCCACAGCCCCAGAAGCACAAGGGCTTAATGCAGAACCCAGCAGCTTGGAGCAGAAAAGTGAAAGGACTATGCGTTAATCCAGGCAATCATCTCTGCCCAGAGGGGAAAGGGTGTTGCTCCCTTCCGCCCTCCTCCCTCTGGAAAGAAAGATGGCGGCCACATGGGGGCCTTGTGGACAGCAGGTATGAGCCGGGGGTGTGGGGGCGACTAAAACCTCATGGGAAGGGGGGCGTTCTGGTCCGTCCTTCACGCCCTACCGAGGTCACCAGTTGCCCCCCACGAGCGGCTCTCCAGCACGGCCACAGCCCCAGAAGCACAAGGGCTTAATGCAGAACCCAGCAGCTTGGAGCAGAAAAGTGAACGGACTATGCATTGATCCAGGCCATCAAGTCTGCCGGAGGGGAAAGGGTGTTGCCCCATTCGCCCTCTCCTCTCTGGAAAGAAAGATGGCGGCCACATGGGAGCCTTGTGGACAGCAGGTATGAGCCGGGAGTGTGGGGGCGACTAAAACCTCATGGGAAGGGGGGCGTTCCGGTCCGTCCCTCACGCCCTACCGAGGTCACCAGTTGCCCCCCACGAGCGGCTCTCCAGCACGGCCACAGCCCCAGAAGCACAAGGGCTTAATGCAGAACCCAGCAGCTTGGAGCAGAAAAGTGAACGGACTATGCATTGATCCAGGCCATCAAGTCTGCCGGAGGGGAAAGGGTGTTGCCCCATTCGCCCTCTCCTCTCTGGAAAGAAAGATGGCGGCCACATGGGAGCCTTGTGGACAGCAGGTATGAGCCGGGAGTGTGGGGGCGACTAAAACCTCATGGGAAGGGGGGCGTTTCGGTCCGCCCTTCACGCCCTACCGAGGCCACCAGTTGCCCCCCACGAGCGGCTCTCCAGCACGGCCACAGCCCCAGAAGCACAACGACCTAATGCAGAACCCAGCAGCTTGGAGCAGAAAAGTGAAAGGACTATGCGTTAATCCAGGCAATCATTTCTGCCCAGAGGGGAAAGGGTGTTGCTCCCTTCCGCCCTCCTCCCTCTGGAAAGAAAGATGGCGGCCACATGGGAGCCTTGTGGACAGCAGGTATGAGCCGGGGGTGTGGGGGCGACTAAAACCTCATGGGAAGGGGGGGCGTTCTGGTCCGTCCTTCACGCCCTACCGAGGTCACCAGTTGCCCCCCACGAGCGGCTCTCCAGCACGGCCACGGCCCCAGAAGCACAAGGACTTAATGCAGAACCCAGCAGCTTGGAGCAGAAAAATGAACGGACTATGCATTGATCCAGGCCATCAAGTCTGCCGGAGGGGAAAGGGTGTTGCCCCATTCGCCCTCTCCTCTCTGGAAAGAAAGATGGCGGCCACATGGGAGCCTTGTGGACAGCAGGTATGAGCTGGGAGTGTGGGGGCGACTAAAACCTCATGGGAAGGGGGGCGTTTCGGTCCGCCCTTCACGCCCTACCGAGGCCACTGGTTGCCCCCCGCGAGCGGCTCTCCAGCACGGCCAGGACTCCAGAACACAGAAACCAATTTCTTAACTATCTGACTTTCAGTAGAAATACTTCCAGGGTCAATAGGTAAAAGAGCAGAAATCCAAAACCAACATTTAATTCTTGAACCCAGCCGTAGAAAGCAAATCACTTCACAATGCTTTTTCAGCATGTCTGATTTGGGGGGGGGGGGGTAAACTCTAAATAATAGTGGTGAATCTTTTATTGAAACAATGAATCTAATCAAAGCAGATAGAGTGTTAACTAGAATTCATCTGCTTCACAGGGACGGGGAGGGGTGGGGGGTGGGGTTTTATTGGGGTTCTTCATGGTAAAAAATAAGTATTGGTAAAGGGAAATGTGTTTGATATTTGCATGACTGAGACATAAACCTGAAAGCTTTGTAACCTTTCCCACAGTGATTCAATAAATAAATTTAAAAAAAAAAAAAAAAGGAGTAATGAGGGGAAAAAATACTTATTTTTATTTTTTAGTGAAGTAAAAGTTTTATTTGGAGAAATTTATTTAAGGAAATATGAGAGGGGAGGGAGGGAGAGGGAGAGAGAGCGAGTGAGCATGGGCTTCTCCAGAAGGGAAAACCCGAGATACTACACACCTCAGGTCTCAGGTTGAGATGTGGGCTAATCTTCAAGGTGGAGAATGCTAGAGATAATATTTTAAGACAATATTTTATATTAAATATCAAAGATAAAAATGGGGTTCAGGTGCCTGCCCCGGTTCCATCCCCGGTACTGCATATGGGAATAATCCCTGAGCATCACGGGTATGGCCCCCAAAGCCCAAAGTAAACTAAATCTCTCAACAAACTTGTTAGAGAAGGGATGAAGCTCAGTAAAACAAGACCGACAATTAACACCGTGATCAAAAGGCCATGAGGAACAAAACATCCCCTCAAATTGGGGGAGAATGGTTTGGGCTGCACCCGGTGGTGCTCAGGGGCTATTCCTGGCTCTGAGCTCACAACTAACCTCATGATCAAAAGGTGAGAGCTCATCTCAGGTCAGGAGCCAGACAGGATGCCTGTGTCCACCTCTTCTACAAAACAGACAGCAGAGCAATTGGGGCGGGGGGGAATGGAAGAGGAATCAGAGCAATAGTAGAGTGGGTAGGGCGCTTGCCTTGCACACAGCCAACCCAAGTTCAATCCCCAGCATCCCATAGGGTCCCCTGAGCCTGCCAGGAGTGATCCCTGAGAGCAGAGCCAGGAGTAGGTCCTGAGCACGACTGGGTGTGGCTCAAAAACAAACAAAAAACCCCTCAAAAAGAGCAGAAAAAGGAACACAAGAATAGAAGAAGAAAGATTGCCTTTGAAGCCACTGTCATCTTTTAAGGGGACTACACCCAGAAGTGCTTAAGGCTTACAAATACTTAGGAATAAATATAACCAGGAAGATGAAAGTCCCATGCACTGAAAACTACCAGACTTGGATGAAAGAAACAAAAGAACACAAAAGCCAATAGAAAAACACACCATTTTTTGCGAATTGGAAAAATTAATGTACCATTAAAATATTTGTGTTCTGAAATTTCCAGGCTTTCTCCATGTTGGGATGGGCTACCCGCCCCCCACTTCCCAGTACTCCTGGAAGCACTGGCAGTCACTCCCATGAACCAACTCCAGCACCACCTTACTACCAGTTTTGCTTCAGAGACCCATAAATAAATCTCGAAAGAGATTAGAAACTAGTTAATCTTGGACCTGTGCTTGGCTGAACAGACTAGGGTAAATCAGAGGGGGGCAGGGTCAGCCCCTGGCAGCTGCTTGCTCCCACAATCCAAAATCACAGAGAGAGAGAGAGAGAGAGAGAGAGAGAGAGAGAGAGAGAGAGAGAGAGAGAGAGAGAGAGAGAGAGAAGAGAGAGAGCGAGCCTGCACTCAGCCAGCTGCATGCAGGGGGCCTAGGCGTCACCTGACCCCTGTACTGCACAGTCCCTGAGTATTGCTGGGAGTAGCTACTGAGCATGACGGGGTGTGTTCCCGTCACCAGTGCAATTATAAAAGAAGGATGAGGCCACAGTGATAGCAGAGCAGGTTGGGCACTTGCCTTGTGTGCCTGACCCGGGTTCCATCCCTGGCATCCCTTATGGTCTCTTGAGCACTGCCAGGAGTAATTTCTGAGTGCAGGGTCAGGAGTAACCCCTGAGCACTGTTGAGTGTGACCACAAAACAAAACAAAAGAAAATAAATTATGATAGAAAAGAAATATGTTTGCTAACATGAATAGTTTTGCATAGGAGAGACAAAGTCTCCTGGGTTTGCTCCTAATGGGGGTGGGCTTCTGGGACCATGAGGCACATCTAGGCACATTCAGGCACTGGCTTCTGTGGCTCTGGACCTGTGCCAAAGGTGCAGCCTGGACTAGGGCCTCCATGGGGCGGGGAGCCGCTGCGGCCCCTCCCAGCTGGAGCACCTCGGTAGTGCCCGTCAAACTGGGTCTGCTCCTGCTGAAGAGTCCTCTGCGGGTTCCCCTCACCCGCCATGGCCCTTTGCTTGGTGTCTGCACTGCTGTTGCTGCTGCTGCTGGGTGAGTGCTCCCCTCCCTCATCCTTGCAACCTGCTTCTCTGTCTTCTATTCTCGGGAGATAACTTGGGGGGGAGGAACGAGAAGGTGATTCCAGGAGAAGCTGGGACTCAGAAAGAGGCACCGGTAAGAGGAGTGTATTTGCTGCCTCCTGTATCTCCCCTCCTCGTCCTCAGCAAGTCTCTCCCCTCCCAAGTCCTGCCTTGGCCCCCTTGCCCAGGTGCCGCTTGTCCTATACCCGCCCTCCTGCCCAGTTCTCCTTCCCTGCCCTCGGACCATACCCTCCACCATCAGTGTGGAATCTTCCTCACTGGCTACCTGCAGTGCCTCAGGGAGCACATACCTGCTTTTCCACCTGCTAAGTCCCTTGGCCCCCCAAGGCAACCCGGAGGGTGAAACCCCTCCTGAAAGGGGGGGGGGAGTGGGACTGACAAAGGTTTGAGGCGAGAGAAGAGGACCTCCCTGAGAATGGGGGAGACAGGTATACCCGATCTGGGAATGAGAGAGACAGGTAAGGAGCCGGCAGTGGTGGGACCAAGACAGTAGGCGATGCCAGGGCCGACTGGGCCGAGGCCGGGGGTGGTGGCTTTTGTTGGGAGTGAAGAAGCATGGAAGCTGCTGTGGCGTGGCTGGGTGTGCTGGTGGGGAGGGAGGTGAGTGGAGGGGAGGCGGCAGTTCTCTCCCACCTCCATGCACCTGGTCCAAGCTTAGTGCAGTCCCTCGGCACCTGAAGCCACAGGAAGCACCTCCACTTCCCCCCTCCCTCCAACCATGTCTGACCATGTCCCTGAAAGAGGTGGCCAGTGCCAGAGAGGATCCCTGCTCCCAGCGCTCAGATGGAGACCCTCCCGCAGCCCCATCATGCTCTTCCTATGAAAGGCCGGGAACCTTCCTTTAAACTAGGTGTCAGAAAGCCTGTCCCTTGGCTAGGTAAGTGCTCCTGGTGCTAAGCTCTGCGAGGCAGAGGTCACTTGGTTTGTGTGACAGAAGTCATAGAAAGGACTGCCAAGTCCAGGCCTCTGGAGCCCCTGATTTAGCTGGACATGGTTGTGACCCCCCTGGACAGGCCTTGCTCCGCCAACTGTTCCCTGGTGTCTGATGTGTGCCAGGCCTGCTTTCTGCCCTGTGGCCGCTGTCGCTCTCCGGCTTCTCTTGAACCCACACTCACTCTCAGGCCTCAGCACACCGTCCAGCCAACAGAGGCCTGGACTATACGGGATACCCGTGAATGAACCTGGGTCGGCTGCCTGCAAGGCAAACGCTCTACAGGCTGTACTATCGCTCGGGCCCCGGAGGCCTTCGTTTTGGGGCGAGACCAGACCCAGGTTCCGTGCGCTCCATCCAACCTGGACGTGTTGCCAAGGACTCTGGAGTCCACCTTCTCCCACGGTCTCACGGGTATGGGAGAACCGCGCAGGCCCGGCGCACCGAGACCTGCAGCCTGCTCGGTCCTCCTCCAGGGTGGCCGAGCTCGGCGGGACCGAACCGATGCGTGGACGCGGCCGAGGCGTGCACGGCGGACGCGCGCTGCCAGCGACTGCGCACCGAGTACGTGGCTCAGTGCCTGGGCCGCGCCGCGCCGGCAACCTGCGCTCGAGCCCGCTGCCGCCGCGCTCTGCGCCGCTTCTTCGCCCGCGGGCCGCCTGCGCTCACCCACGCGCTGCTCTTCTGCGCGTGCACCAGCCCCGCGTGCGCGGAGCGCCGGCGCCAGACCTTCGTCCCCGCCTGCGCCTTCTCGGGGCCCGGCCGCGCGCCGCCCTCCTGCCTGCAGCCGCTGGATGCTTGCGAGCACAGCCGGATCTGCAGGTGCGGCCTGGGGCGGGGCCTCACGCCCAGGGGCGGGGCCTCGCGGTCAGGGGCGGGATTTGACGGTCGCGGACGGGGCTGTTAGTGGCGGGGCCTGGCAGTCGGGGCGGGGCTTGACATCCGGGGCGGGGCCTGGTAGTCAGGGGCGGGGGTTGAAAGTCAGGGACGGGGTCTGACAATCGGCCGGGATTAACAACCAAGAGCAGGGCCTGACAATCAGGGGCGGGGTCTAGCAGGCAGGGGCGGGACTTGACGGTCACAGATGGGGCTGTTAGAGGCAGGGCCTGGTTTGGGGGTTAGCAGTCGGGGCGGGGCCTGACAATAAAAGGCGGGGGCTAACATGCAGGGGCGGGACTCGACAGTCCGGGACAGGACTGACAGGGCCTGGGCCTGACAGTTGGGTGGGGATTACGTGGGGTAGAAGCTTGATAGGAGGGATTGACAACGGGGGGCGGGCCCTGGCGCTCAGGGGGCGGGGCCTGGAAGTAGTGGGCGGGGAATCCTGTCGATGTACCGCCCCCCGCCTCTAGGCCCCGCCTCCTGGCCTTCCAGGCCTCGTGTGCTCCGGTTTCCAGCTACCCCGACGGCTGCATGCAGGACCAGGCCCCCAGCTGCAGGCGCGCCTTCGCAGGCCTCGTAGGTACTCTACCGGGCTCCCGGAGGGGACGGGGCTCTCCTGGGTGGACCGGTGACCCGACCTGGGGGTACCCCGCAGGCACTGCCGTCACCCCCAACTACGTGGACAACGCGAGCGCGCGCGTGGCGCCCTGGTGCCACTGCGGAGCCAGCGGGAACCGGCGCGAGGAGTGCGAAGCCTTCCGGGGGCTCTTTACAAGCAACCGCTGCTTGGGTGAGGGTGCGGTGGGCCCTCACTGTCCCCTTCCAAGCCGTCAGGCTGAGTGAACCTGTTTCAGAAGTGAGGACACCCAGCCACTGAGGCCCACCTCTCTCTCTGCGCCTGGCGGGACGTCAGACACCTGGTTATAGACCAAAGGATCCCAGCCGGGTTTGGGCTGACAGGAGTGCGTGGGGTGGGAGTTGAAACAAGAACCCACACTTCAGTCTCCCTCGCACAGGGGGTACGACACCCCCAGTGCCCAACGCTGGTTCCTGGGAGTTTGGGAGTGCTCACTTTAAAAGGTGACTCTCACTATTTGGGAGTTGGCGCCTTGTCTGTGCCCATCTGCTGGACAGAGGTGAGAATCATGGCCCTCCACTGAGGATGGAGGACTAGTTGGCAGGCTCCCTGGCTTCCTTCTAGTTGGCAGGATCTTTGCTCCTCACCATCAGTCTGGGCTCATTCCAAGCCCATCCCTGCAGATAAGGCTCGCTCTGCGTGGGGAGGGTTCACCAGGCTGCCGGAGTCTCTTAGGCCTGAAAGTTCTGGGCCTTGGGCCAGAATTTCCCACCTAAGTTCAACCTGGATCCCTCCCACCACAGATGGAGCCATACAGGCCTTTGACAGTGGGTGGCCCCGGCAGGTGGCAGGCTGGGACCCTGAGCACAGACTCCTGCAGGTAAGAGGAGGTGGTGGAGGGTAGGAGGAGGGACAGCTTCCCTCCCTTCCTGTCACATTCTGGTCTCCCTGGGGTCCTGGGTGGAGGCAGGGAAGAAGCAGAGTGAGCGTTTCCAGTCTGAGTTCATACTCTGCTTCCACCCAGGTGTCCTCTGTCCCTGGAGGGGCGCTGGAGGGGGGCTGCCTGCTCTCCCTGCTTCCCATCTTGACCCTCCAGCCCCTGCTCTGATGAGGACAGCGGATCTCAGACTGCACAGTCCCTGGTTCCTCCCTGTTAGGGTGCAGGGCTGACTGGACACTACCTGGACATTGCCTACCTCCCGTGTCCCCAGGCAGATGTCCACTAGGACCTGCCAACCCCCCTGGCTCCTTTCTAGTAGGTGACGAAACTTCTCTTTCTTGGTTGTGGGTCCCTTGCTCCTCCCTCCACACCCACCTTGCGTCAGTTGGGGTCATCCCTTAGGGTAGGGACAGAAAAGGGGTCACCTGGGTAGCTGAGGACCGAAGCAGCTCAGATCACCTGGAGGTCAGAGACTATCAGATTTCCAGAATTCTAGGAAGTGTTATCAGCCCCCTGAGCACATCTGAAGGCAAAACTCCTTTCAACACTGCAGTGCTGCCCCCAGCACCCTCCCAGAGAGGGACCGGTCATCACGAGCCCCTTGTGCACCCCAGCTGAGTTGGGCAGAGAACTTCCTGTCCAGAATGTGCTGCAAGGTGGGCATCCCCTGAATTGGAATCCAGACCCCTGCACTAGGCTGACCCTGTAGTCATCTTCTGCACCATCTAACCCAGCATGAACCAATAAACCCATGCACCCGGAGGCTGGTGTGCCTGATTTGTGTCTCCTGGTAGCTGGGAGAACTGTGTCATCTTCGGGAGGTGCTTTCACTGACCTGTGTGACCTGTGAGGGCGTCCTTCCCTTGGTGCTGAGTCGAAGCACCTACCAGGCCCTCTGGATAAGAACCGTGCATGCTTTTACTTTTTTCTCTGTGTACTCATAAGGAAACTACCTTCTCCAGACTTCCCCAAGTGCATGTGACTGCTAAGAGTTCCCTGGTGGCCCCCATCCTTAGTAGTGATGCCTGTAAGATCACTTCCTATTTCCAGACGGTGATTGTGGCCAGTGAAAAGTGACTGGCCAAGCAGGGGTAGAGGCCTGGCCTGCTGGCCTCTGTGGGGCAATTCTGTGTCATCATGCTCCCAAGCTCCCTGGGGCATGGGCTACTGCTCGGTCACCATAGACACCACCTCCCCGTTGAGTATTTTTTCTGCTCCTTCCTGACACCCTCACTTAGAGGTTCCCGTAAGGGTCCTTCCTCCAACAAATCATAGCCTGAGACTCCATATCATGGTCTCAGCTTCTAGAGAAGCTGAATCAAAAAACATCGGTGACTCTGAGTCTAGGTACTTGGCAGCTCATGCTCCCCCTCATTCATCCTTCAACCCCCCTTCACATATACTACAGATGGCACCTGTCAGCCTGCCTCCCAGCTCTAGCCTGGACTCGCCTGCTGGACGCTGTATACACATCAAACTACGTTGAGCATATAACTGACCAGGCTGGGCTTCAGGCATAGCTGTCTCTAGGTGTTCAGATGCTATTTCTTCCATCGGTCTGTAGTGGTTTCCTTCTGCAGCCAGCTGGTCCACACGGTGGGTGGGAAAGTACACCACTGTCAGTCCTGGGCCCACCCTGTCTCAGCAGAGAAAGGCATGACCTTTGCAAGCATCCCTGGAGTGGCCTTGATGTGGATGCAGGGGCTCTGGTGGATGCAGCAGGATCAAAAGCCCCTTCCAGTGGCCTGAGGAAGGACAGTCGACAGGAAAGGGGAAGGGCAGGCTTTCAGCAGAGGTAAGGAGCATTGCTCAGAGTGAGGCTCCAATGCCCACCTGCTCTCACATGTCCAAGAGTGTTCTTAGCCAAGTATACCCCGGGGGAGTTGGCACCTACAGGGTGGGCTATGAGAGGCATGTACGGGAGTTTACATGCGATGGATAGCAAGCAGGAAAACAAAAGCTTGTCCTGCTCAACTGTTTATGTGATTGTGCAGTGAGCCGAATGCAGACTTAAATATCTTCAGAATGATTGGCCTTATGTAAGAATGTGTCAAACTCTGTGGCCACATCACTCCAGCCTCCGTCTCCACACAGCCCTCCACCTGTTCAGTCTCTTGCCTCTTTCCTGGAAAGATGCACATGGCTGCATTTCAGGCCCCACCTAGATCAAGCAAGCCAGGTGCCTTCTTTCAAGATAACATAAGTCATGTATCTTGCCACATGAAGTCACATTTGCTTTGTCTGCCTACCTACGAAGTCACATTTACAGCCTGCAAGCAGGAAGCAATGGGGCCACCATTCAACCCACTAAGTAGAAAATTCCTGGCCCAGGGTGGCAAGACGGTGTCTGTTGTATGCCACAGTGCCCCGTCCCTCCTCATCTCCTCTGTTCAAAGCAGACCAGAGCCACACTGTAGCCATCCTTTGCCTCCAGCCCCAGGCAGCAAGACTGCAGCCCTGGAGGTCCCCGAGCACCACGGGGATGACCAGGAGCATCCTGGCTAAGCAGGACCTGAACATCACCACAGATGTGGGCAACTACCAGGGGCCAGATGAGGCTTGGATTCTCCTTGAGCCCCTGGAAGGAGGGCAGCCCTGCTGACACACAATCTGACTCTCGTCCTCCAGATGTCAGAATAAATTCCTGTTGTTTTCAAGCACGGAAGTAGAGGTGGTTTTTTTTTTTTTGTTACAACTGCCCCAAGAAAACAGCAGAGTTGTGGCTGGTTTTGTTTCCTCCCTTTCCCTAAAAATGCTCCTAGCAGGGCTGGGAGATAGGTCGAAGGGTTGGGGGTACAGGCTTTGTGGAAGCCCTGGGTTTTCTCCCTGGCACCGCAGGTTCCCCCAGGAACCGCTGAGAGTAACCCCCAACACTGCACACTGCCCTTGGCCCCAGGACAGGCTGTTAGCTCAGTCAACACTGCCTCTCGGTGGCAGGTGTCCAGACAGGTGCTGAGATGGAAGGCAAGTGTGGATGCGCCCCTGGGCTGATGGCTGGAAACTTCACGGCTCATGAAGGCCCGCTCTGGCCCAGCGCCCGTGCTTGGTGCCAGGCTGATGTGGAAACTGCCCCCTGCCCCCTTATCCTACCCAACCCCATCAGAGTCCTGAAAAGGACAGCCCAGACTTGGATCATTTATTTAGGGATGGGGGGGGGGGCTCCCGAGTGGTGCTTACGGGCCCCGGAGGCTGCTCCCGGTGCTTCTTGGCCAATTGGTTGACGCCCCAGACTGAGGATGAGGTGCTGCTCTGGCCCTGGGGTGCTCGGGGGCCACCAAGGTACCAGACAATGCCCATATGGTGCCAGGGATTGAACTTGGGTCCTGTGCAGCAAAACGTGCATCCCTGGACTTTCTCTTTGACTCATTTTTGGGGGAGATGCTACATTTTCTGGTATGCAGGGCCACTCCTAGCTCAGGGCTCAGTGATGTTCCAAGCTCAGTGCCTGGGGATATGCTCAGTGTTCAGGGGGCCATGTACTAGTAGCACTGGGGATTGAAGGGGGACCTCCTGCATGCAAAGCCTGTACCCCAGTCCATTGGGCCCTCTGTCTGGCCCTACTTCTCTCTTTTTTAATTTTCACACATTGTGAAAACTTTTTTAAATTTAAATGTGTAAAGGTTATTCCTTGCTTCCAAACAGTGCACCACGGGTGGTGGCTAGTTTGGGGCCCAGATGGCTTTTAATTCCTGAAATGGGATATAAGGGTTCTTGATACCCATCACCCGGATCCAACAAAAATCAACTCACAGTTGATCTTGTTTCATTGCTCCCATGATCCCTTTTCCCTCTCCCTTAACCCCAAACTATTTAACTTTTTTTTTTAAATGAAGTGTAAATATTGGTGGGTGGGATTTCTAGAGAAGCTGAGACAGTGGCTAGGTAGAATCCTGGTAGATCCCCCAGCACAGTCAGTGAGCCTCGCATGTGTAGAAAGCAGGTGGCCACAGGAACCTGCCAGGCCCGGCTACAGGGCAGACCTGGGCTGAAGGATGTCTGGAAAGACATGGTTCCATCTGGGAGACCTTACACCCAGAAGTCTACACCCAGACAGAAGTGAGATGAGGCCATGCATGAACATTCCGGGAGCCATGAGTCGGGCCCAGTGTGCGGCAGGCAAGAGCAGCCGATACCTCAGCTCCCCGCGACCCTTCATACAGCAACAGGAGCTGTCTCTCCTGTACCTGCGGCTGGGCACAGGGGGGAGGGAATTCCTGGCTGTCTGTCACGGAGTCTGCTCAGCCGCAGCCCTCTTCAGGGGAGTGGAGTTGGAGAGGCACCTGCCAGGAATGGCCCTGACACTGGGGGCAGAATCGTCCAGAATGACTAGCCCTAGGCAAAGGCATGAGAAAAGCTCGAGTTCACTCTCCCCTGGATTTGTATGGTAGCTGCAGCTCAGGGGAACTGCCTACACTGACTGGCTGGAGTGACAGAGCAGCAGGAAGGCCCTTGCCTTGCACGTGGCTGATCTGGGGTTGGCCCCCGGCATCCCTGATGGTCCCCCAAGTCCCACAGTAGTGATTCCTGAGGCAGAGCCAGGAGTAAGCTTTAAGGACTGGTAGGTGTGGCCCAAAACCAAAGAAGTGACTATGCTGAACTCACAAATACTCTTGTGTTCCTAACAGGGCTGGGGCCTAGAGCAATGCAGGGGGGGTTTCTAGCATCGGCCTCATGAGTTCACAAGTTCAAGTTCCCAGAGGCCCACATTCGCCAACACCCCCGAACTCACTGGACTCTAAAAGCAAAACTGGTTGGCTATTCTAACCTCCCGAGACCCCAGATTTCAGTGCTTCTTCCATTCTGGGTCCCTCGAGGCCTTCTGCACTCTGGACCAGGGCACTAAAAGGCCCCGTGTGCTAGTGCCAGGTGCGGGGGCGCTGCCATAGACATCATGTCCCCCGGAATATCAGACCCGGGACAGAAGTTGCAAGGCCCAGGGCTGAAGGGGATGGGAGGTGGGGGGTGGGGGTGGGGGGTTTGGTCAGTATAGTCCAGGCTGGGCAGCGCCCACTGCACACCTGCCCCTCCCTACACCGCAACTCCCTGCCAGGTGGCATCGACTCCAGTGGGCATGTGTGTAGTCAGCTCCAGGCTGGGCCGCCTGGACATTGGCTAGTATTTCAATGGTTTTATTATTTCCTTAAAGTTCTAAGGGCTAATGTGTAAAAACAAGCGCCACAGAATTAAAAAAAAAAACTAAAAACCTTGGAACAAAACCCCCATTTTTACCAGATCTACTTTTATTTCAGAAGGAGGTTTGTATTATAGTATTTACTTTTGTTTATGTACAAGTTCTTCACATTTGTGTTTAAAATGCACAGTCCCTCTCTCAATTCTCTTGTTCCTGCTTAAATTAGCTGTTATTTTACAATACAAAAAATACCAAAAAAATTGCAGTCCTAAATGTATGTATAACACCCCACAATCCCCAGCAATGAAATAGTTTACAATACTTACTCCATATTTACATGAGTGCAAGAGATGCTAAATTATACATATTAACAAACTAAGCTCGAATCCAAACCAAACAAAACCGTAACTATAAAACAAAAAACATTTTCCAGAGTCAGAATTAGTCCAATGAAACAGGCTTCACTAGTGTTTAGAATGTTTTGTGCACAAGTCGGCTCCGTTATTGCCTGTAAAGAAGGCGCCAGTTCCCCTCTCCAGACCGTCTCTGGCAGGCCAGGGTGTTTATTACTTTGAAAGGCTCAGCAGAAATGACTCTTGGTGGGCCCGGCGAGTGATAAGTTACCGCAGTGATTTCTATGGTTTGAGCAGTTTGGTCGAGTGGCCACCTGTTCCGGGCTGAGCGCTGGTGCAGTCCCTCCGCCTTCCCTCTGTCTGTCCTCTGATCGCCCACTCTGCCAGGGCGCCACCAGCGGTCAGGAGCGGGGTGGCTGGCTTCCGGCGCTGGACTGTTGAGAACTGGAGAGAGCAGCGTTTTCATCTTGCTGCCCTTATGTTAGCGGAGGTTAGTAAGTGCTTTGCACTACTTGTTGAATGAATGAAATGAAAGGACGGATGGTGCTCAGGAAGCCAACACCACCAGCCAATGACGAGGATCTCTCCCACCCTGCCCCAGACACGTTCTGCTGAGCTGAAGGAGCAAGCTTTGCTCTGCTGTGTACCCCACACTGCCCCCACCCCATGGACAGTGCTCTGGTCTTTTCATTTGCTCCGGAGTTTCCTGCGGCCTCTCATCCCGCACTGCAGGCTGGACCCACGGATATTCCGGGAGCTTCCTTTAGCTGACAGTTTTCTGTCCTGGCAGCTTTGAGGAAAGAATGGGCTGCCTCCTCTCCAGCCCTCCTAACCTTCTCAGGGCGTTCCCCAGAGGGACACAGATTTCTCCCCAAACCCTGCACGGGGAGGTGGTGGTAGCAGGTGGTCAGGCTTTCCGTGGGAAACAGGACCTTACCCACCCACCCCCCAGTCGCCCAGTCACCTACACCCACCACATTTCAACAATAAACCATGGTTCCAGGAAATGCTCCTCAGAAATTCAGACAGAGCTACCACAAAATGCATCGTGGAAAACTTTTTGAAAAACAAACAACCAAAACACCTAAAAAAAGAAAAACAACCCCACCCTGATTTCTACAGGGACAGTCTTTGAGCTGACAGACTGAGAGAAGCGTTGCTCAGGCCATCCCTGGCCGCTGCCAAACCCAGAAGCCATAGAAACTGCCAACGCCCGTGCAGAGTCTCCTCTCAGCCTGCTGCTCACGGGGACTCAAGGACCCTTTCTCCAGCTGCCACAGAGACAGGACTCCTGAATGAAGCGTCACCAACGGAGGCAGCTGCACCTGAACACACTGGCATGTTGAGGAATACGGGGGAAGTAAGGAGCAACACCTTCGGAGGCTTCGCCGACCAGAGCAGCATCTGATGAGAGGACTTCTCCAGACCAGGGGGTCCGGTTCAGGGTGCACACACACACACAAACCTATTTGGTGAAACTCAGACATGGTCACATTTAATAAAAATACATGAAGATGCTCTTCTGTTCTATGTACACTCGGAAGGCCTGGGCATTCCAGACACGACTGGAGCGCTATATACAAGTGCAATACCGATGTTGCCGTGATGAGTTCGTTTATGTACAGGCTCTCCTGTGACTCACAGGCATTGCTCCGAGGTCCCAGATGACTCCCAGGTGGTAACCGGCCCAAAGCTGAGTGTCTCCTGGCTTGGGCCAGGAGGGAGCACTTGCTCCTAGCTGCGAAGGAGCAGCAGGTGGATTCAGCTGCTCCTCCGTGACTGGAGCAGAACGAAACATCATCACTCATTCTTTGCTTTCCAAAAATAAACACTATCTTTTAGGAAAACAACAACAGCAAACGTAAGAGATAAACGGGTGGGGACGAGATGTGGTGCATTATTATTTCAAGGCATGGGCCTGCCGCTGGGAAAAACGCTTCTTTGGCAAGGAAACCTGGTCCTTTCCCTCCCGGGGACTCTTGCCGGGGCCTCCGCTGTTCTCTGCCAAAAAGCTTCATGGAAATCACAGAAACGGAAGATCAGTCCACTGTGGGTGTGCTGGGACCTGGCATGGGGACGTGGGGAGCTCCTAGAAGGAGGGTGTCTTTTCTAGAACCATCTTCTCTTCTCTAGAACCGTTTGCTCTTGAACAAAGCAATGAAAAAGCAGCATGTGGAGAGGTGAATCTCCAGCAGGAGAGTTTCTGTGCATCGGACAGTTTTCTAGTTCTGTTTCTGTCCTAACGTCTTTCCGGGAGATTCCTCACGGGCGTGGGGTTGCCGTCAGGGAGGAGATGCTCTGTCTCTCTAGGCACTCCGGTGGCAGGCGAAAGGTCGCAGTTTTTTCGTGTCTGAATGACGCTTTTTCCAAACTCACAAACTTGAGCGCTGTTTCCTGGGGACCAAACCCCAGAGGAGGGATGCTGGGGAGCTTAGACCGAGGCGCGGAGGAGCCTGCTTGGGCAGCCGCCGGCTGCGTCGTGTCGGAATTCGAGCACCGTGGTCGGGGCCTTGCGAAGCCCGGGTCTACCCTGTCTGGGCCGAGCGATCCTGCTCCATGGCCAGATTTCGGCCTCGCCCCCTGGCTCCATGTGCTTTTCCTTCTCGCCTGTGCTCGCTGCCCTCCCCATTGCCACTAACTGGGCCTGGAGAAGGACGGGAGGGCAGAGCCCTGCCTAGGGAGAGCGGGTCATGGCCCTGCCCCACAGTGGCCTGGGCAGGGGCAGGGGGACACTGGGGGGAGGGGGGGGAAGTGTCGTGCTCTTCTGGAGAGTCCTGCACCAGGACTGAGGACCGTGCTCACCAGGGCCGAGGGAAGAGTGCAGGCCTGGGGTGGGTAGGGGTGGGGCGTGGGGGGGGGGGGTGAGGCACGTGACTGGGTGTCCTTTTCTACCCTAAACACAGCAGCTTTCAGTTGGTCCTTTCTGCTCCCTCTCATCCCTGCAGCCAGGTGAGACATGCCTGGGGGTGAGAAAATGCTTTCTAATCTTTCCGTTGGATTTTAGAAAAAGAGCAGGCTGCCAATGATAGCTATTTAATTTTTTTTTTAAAGAATGTAGGAATGCAATTATGTAAAAACTTAGGCTTACTAACTTTCCAATTGCTAGATCTATTTAAAGTCTAGGCACTTAAGTGTGTGTGTGTGTGTATGTGTGCGTGTGTGTGTGCATACACGTGTGTTTCTGTGTGTGTGTGAGAGAGAGAGAGAGAAAAAATTTCAAATGGGTCGGTCCTCACTAAATCAAATCACTATAGAAAAACTACCTAGGACATCAGTTTACATTCTAAGTAACACTGCCAGCCTTGACATTTAAAATAGCCCGCCTCTGTCTTAATTTGGTATGATTCAAAAGAGATGGACCATTATTAATTCTCAACTAGAAAAAAAGCGACTCCCTGGAAGAGAGGGATCTGCCTAACCGTGCAAGAATAAATAGCACATCTTTTAAAAAGAGAGCAGACTTCAGATGGACGCCAGTGATTCACCTGACGAGTTGGTAAAAGAGACCATGTTGAAGAACAGCTGAGGACGAAAGTCTGCTTGTAAACGCAACAGCTTGTGGTATTTTTTTTTTTTTTTTGCACAGTGGAGCCCGCCTGGGAGAACGCCCTGGGGGAAGCTGAGTGGCCATTCCCAGGTCTCTCCCCGGCTCCACACCAGCCTCCGCCAGCCACAACTGGATCACCCCTGGGCCTAGAACGAAAACGACGGTTTCCTACTCAAAAGTAAAGAGGTTCGACGCTGGAGCGTGGATGGAAGAGACGGTCACCAGAGAGAGCTTGTGAGCATGCAGATGGGGCAGGCGGCAGGCGGACGGACGCACGGACGGATGGATATGTGAGGGTCTCCAGTCTTCGCTGCCCCGCACCTCCAGGCCTCCATGCCACGGCGGCTCGGCACATGCGCTCACGGACGGCCCTGGCCCCAGCGTCAGATGCACGTCCCGGGCTGCGCGGGGGGCTGCTGCTTCCGGTTGCGCACGGCCCCAGACTTCTCTTTGTACACGATGGGCATCTGCTGGGAGATGTCCACGAGGGCGCTGGCCACTGCGAGACCTTGGGAGAGCCACAGGCATGTTAAAAAAAAACACTTATAAATTTTCTTTTTATACTTTCATGAATCGCTAGAAAAGGACACAGAGGAAAAGCCTTAGCTCCAACCCCGCCCCCCCACTCCGCACCCCCTTCTGTGGGTTTTTCTCTCCTGTGCAAATACACACACAGGCTCTCCTCTCCTTCCCACTACTTGCCTGGGACTTGGGGCAGCACCCCGGGGTACTCAGGGGCTACTCCCAGCTCTGTGCTCGGGCACCACTTGTGCTGAGGTAGCCTGGAGGGACCTCCTGTGGTGTCACCCATCGACATGGTCAGCCACGCGTGAGGTAGATGCCCGCCCCGTTATGCTATCTCTCTGGTGTTCTCCTCCAATTCTTACACAAGGCAAGTAGCGGACTGACCGATGATGGGTTCCTGCAGGCACGTCCTGGCACTCAGTCTCTCCTGTCTGGCCCTGAAGGGGTCACCTCACCCCCAAGATGCACGTGCCACTTCCATCTGGCACCAAAGACACAGGGCCGGGTGGACACTGGGATCAGGCTTTAGAAGAAAAGATGCTTCAGCCTTTCTCCCGGAGCCTCAGTTTCCTCACCTGTGCCACGGGGCCGACAACAGCACAGGACTGTGGAGTCAAGTCTCTCAGAACTGGCTCCCAGGGACCTCCCCGTGCCCCCACCACCAACTCTGCTTGAGGGACTGGGTGAGTAGGGAGGTGGGGGGCTTCTACTCTCCTTTTCTGGGTGTTAACAGATGTTCTTGTGGTCCCTCAGGGAAGGCGCATCTGGGGATGGGGCAAGATCATGGGCCCAAGTAATTTCAGGCACTGCATGGTCACCCAAGCGGTGCTGGGTGAGTTCCCAAACCCGCCCCCAAGAGAACAGCCCCCAGCAGGCCATAAACACCCCCACCACAAGGACTGGCAAGACTGGCTCACTCTTTTTTCAGGGTGTGTGTGTGGAGGGGTGTGGTACCCATACTGCTCAGGCTGACTCTTGGCTCTGTGTCCAGGGATTACTCCTGGTGGTGCCTGGGGGCCCAGATGGAGTGCGGGGATTGCACCCAGGTCAGCTGTGGGCAACTCTGGCTCTGTGACTGCACCACCATGGGGTGGTGAGCACACTACTAGGAATTCAGGAACTGGGCCCTATCAGGTAAAGTTTGGAGTAGAAAAGGCCAAAGAAACATAAACCAGTATCTGGTGCTCAGTTTTTTGGTTTTGGTTTTTTCCTTTTTGGTTTTTAGACCATACCCAGCAGTGCTCAGGGCCTACTCCTGGCTCTGCACTCAGGAATCAGTGAGTGAAAGAAAGTTCAGAAACTCTTTGCAGTGGTTGTAACTGCTTCATGGTGTCTTATATTTAAAACAGAGTGACAAATGGGGCCAGAAAGATAGTACAGTGGGTGGGGCGCTTGCTTTGTGTGCGGCCAACCCACATTTGATCCCGGTGTCCCACGTGGTCTTTTAAGCCCCACCAGGAGTGAGCCTTGAGCACAGAGCCAGGAGTGAGCCTTGATCACTGCTGGGTGTGCCTCTCACACCTCCCCAAGAAAGAGTGACAATGCACAAGAACCGCAAGCGTACTAGCAATGCCAACAGGAGAAACCCTCAGGTTGGAGGAGCTTATGGGAAGCCAGAGAAGGCGGAAAAAAAAAACCCAGCATGTGCACAGTGACAGAGAGTGATGGGAAAGGAAGCGCCAGAGCCCAAGCGGCCAGGACCCCGGGGGCAGCCGCAGGGCTGCAGGGAGCCGAAGTTTTGTGTGTGTGTGTGTGTGTGTGTGTGTGTGTGTGTGTGTGATGGGGTGCTGTAGAGTGCTAACTCTCCCCCACACCCAGGAGTGAGTGACCCCAGGCAAGCCAGTCTAAGGACAGTGGCAAGCCCCAGCCACAGCCGCCCACCCTGCCTGGACCAGGCTTTCTGGGACCAGTGGGGAGGACTTACCTGACTGGCCGGGAGGCGGGATTCCCCCCAGGCCTCTGGGGAGCCTCACAAACACGGACAGGACAGCAGCTTTGTTGCCGAAACAGGGCTCCAGGGCGATGGGCTTGGGGACAGTCTAGGGGGAGGAAACAAGAGAGTGACTTCACGCAGCCTGACACTGCAGCCCTAACCTCGGCTGTTACTTTTTGGTTTTACTTTTTCAATTGTGGGGTGGGCTTTAACCCCTGCACTGCCTCTCTGGTCTAGACCTGGTTTGTGACGCTGCCCTCCAGATGAGTCCCACCACCACAGAGCAAATCACCAGAAGCAATGGCTCAAAGTGATAGCACACATGTCCTTCTTGCCCTGCAGAAACCACAAGTTGCCCCCCACAAGCAGCTATCTGGCACGACCATGGCCCCAGAGGCATACAGACCTAAATCGGAACCCAGCAGCTTCTGGCTGAAATGTGAATGGACTAAGCATTAAACTATGGCGCCGTGTACCCCCACCCCCCGAAAGGGTGTGTCTTCCACCATTTCCCCCGCGCCCCATGGTGGCCGCCACCTCACAGTTTATTGGACAGCCGGGAATGTGCTGGCGGTGACAGGGCAACTGCAGCCTCATGGGATGGGGGGGGGGGTGGAACCAGCACATCCTTCCTTCCTGCCCCCCACCCCAACACCACAAGTGGCTCTCTGGCACGGCCATTGACGCAGAGGTACACAAACTAATCTCAGAACTATTTGGCTTTTGGCAGAAATCCATCCAGACTTAATTAGTAAAATATCAGAAATCCAAAATCCATCATATGGTCTTCATAACCAGCAATACAAAAATTATTTCATGATGCCTTTTCAGCATGTTTGATTGTTGGGGGAAAATTCCAAATAATAATGGTGCACATTTGTCAAAATAATGAATGTAATCAAAGTAGAGAGAGTTAAGTGAAAATCATCTGCCTCACAGGCACGGGGAGGGGTGGCATGGGGGGTATAGTGGGGTTTTTGGTGGTGGAAAATATGCACTGGTGAAGGGATGGGTGTTTGATCATTGTATAACCGAGACTTAAACCCGAAAGCTTTGTAACTGTTCTCATAGTGATTCAATAAATAAATTAAAAAATACATAGAAATCTTAAAAAAAAAAATACCAAAGTGATAGCACAGTGGGTAGGGTACCTGCCTTGCATGGGGGCAACCTGGGGCTCACTCCTTGGCAGCCCCATATGGACCCCCGAGTCTGCCAAGAGTTATCCCTAAGAGCAGAACCAGAAAGGAGTCCTGAGCACCTGGGTGTGGCTCAAAGGGGAGGGGGAAGGAAAAAAAAGCACTGCCTTGTTATCTGGTTTGGTTTTGCTTGGGTCACACCTGGTGGTGCTCAGGGGTCAGGGATCACTCCTGGTGGAGCTGGGACACTCAAAGGGGTGTCTGGGATGGAACCCGGGTTGGCAACATGCAAAGCATGAGTCCTACCACTGACTGTACCATCACTCCAGGCCCCACCTCTGCTGCTAGCTGTGTTTTGGGGCCTTACCCAGCAGTGAATCTGGGGCAGACGTTCCTCTACAAACAGGGTCTGGACGTACTCTTGGTGGGACTGCGGCACATGACCAAGTCTGGAATCACTTTATTTATTTAAAATTTTGATTTTTTTATTGAGTCACTGTGGACACAGAGTTACAAAGTTGTTCATGATTGGTTTCAGTCATACAATGTGGAATCTCTTTAAACTAGCCCTTGGTTCTGTACACAAGTTCATTCTTTTTGAGGGCAGGGAAAGAGAGCGGCCTATGGACATTTCATGGACTCCCTATGCGCTCAGGAATGCTTTTGTAAATGTGTTTATTCAAGACCCCAGCTGTTTCCCCAGACAGTCCAAAAATATTTCACTGTTTTGCCAAAAGATAAAGTCTTATCATAATTTTTAGTAGTTTCACAAATATTTATTTTCCACAGAATCCATAGTGGATTTTTATTTTGTCCTTTGAAAAAATACTTCCAGGGGCTGGAGAGATAGCACAGCAGGTAGGGCGTTTGCCTTGCACGCAGCCGACCCGGGTTCGATTCCCAGCTTCCCATATGGTCCCCTGACCACCACCAGGAGTAACTCTGGGTGCAGAGCCAGGAGTAACCCCTGTGCATCACCAGGTGTGACCCAAAAAGCAAAAAAAAAAAAAAAACCCTCCGAATACTTAAAAAGAACAATGGTTTTATTTATCTATATTCAAACACATGTTGTAAAAGAATTATACTAGAGAATACTTTTTTATTTTTGAGGGGTCATAATTGATGGTGTTCAGGTTCCTTCTGGCTTGGGCTCCCTTGGTGTCCAAGGGTTGTTCCTGGCACTGGTGGTGCTGGGGGTGGAACCTGGGCTCCTGCAGATGCCCGAGCGCTTTGGGCTATCTCTAGGGCCATGAGAGAGAGAGAGAGAGAGAGAGAGAGAGAGAGAGAGAGAGAGAGAGAGTGTGTGTGTGTGTGTGTGTGTGTGTGTAAAAATATGCACACCATATTACTGTTTTGCTGTTTTTTTTGGGGGGGTGGCCAATCCAGCGGTGCTCAGGGCTTACTCATGGCTCTGCACTCAGGAATTACTCCTGGCAAGCTCAGAGATGGATGCTGGAAATTGCACTCAGGTTGGCTGCATGCAAAGCAAGGGCCCGGCCCGCGGTGCCATCGCTCCAGTCCCTAGTGGTAGAGACCTGTCTTGCTGGGATAAGGGCCTAGAGTTTGATGTCTGGCACCACAACAAAACAATACAAACAACCCCCCACCCCCTGCCCCTTTAAACACAAAACTGTTTAGTGGCATAGATCCAAGACAGGGAAATAAAACAGTTGGCTGACTGTTAAGAAGCAAGCAAGGACAGTGCACGAGCTAATAGAATAACGCTCTGGCTTTCTCTGGTTTCCCACACAAGAAGCGAGAATTCTGAAATGTCAGTTACAGAGACTTTAGGCTCACCTTGATGCTCCCCCCAATCAGATCGGGAGGCTCTTCGTCTGTCTCCAAGGCAACATTTACCGAGGCAAAGGGACGACTGGCCATCTGCTGCATCTCTCGAAGAAGTTGCTAGCAAGTAACACCACAGCGTTAATGCGATGAGCCCAGAGCTGTACGCAAGACACCTTGGCCCCCCGACCCACACAAATCAAGTCCAGCATGAGAGTTTTGAGACAGCTGGGAAAAGTGGACAACTGGATATGGAGCAGAGTGCTATCAGGTGACGTGATGAACGATCACATTCTGCTGAATGTGGTAAGGATGCATTTATTCCTGCTCGTTCGTTTTGGTTTTATGGGTCACACCCGGCGATGATCAGGGTCACCCTTGACTCTGCGCTCAGAAATTACTCCTGGCGGTGCTCGGGGAACCTTATTGGGTGCTGGGGATTGAACCCAGTCGGCTACGTGCAAGGCCAATGCCCTTGCTGTACTACTTGCTGTACTACTGCTCTGGCCTCATAAGTATGTATTTGTATGAAAGCAATGCCCTTACCTGTCACAGAGTAAGTGATTTTTTCATTGAATTACTGTGAGATAGACCCTTTCAAAGCTGTTTATGATTGGATTTCAGTCATGCAGTATTCTAACACCCAGCCCTCCACCAGTGTACATTTCCCAGCACCAGTGTTCCCCTCCCATCACCTCCCCCCAGCCTTTCCCCTGCCTGCCTCTATGAGGATCTCTCTCTCCCCCTCCCCCCGCGTTTTGGCCATTGTGGTTTGCAATATTGGTAGTTTCAATGGATATAATGCCATGATGCCTGTTTATCAATTTTATAACTTCTGCAGCATGGTCGCTCATAGTTGTATTATTAAAGTTATTTAAGTCAGGCTATCAGGGCTAGAGTGATAGCACAGTGGGTAGGGCATTTGCCTTGCATGTGACCAACCCGGGTTCAATTCCCAGTGTCCCATATGGTCCCCCGAGCACTGCCAGGAGAAATTCCTGAGTGTAGAGCCAAGAGTAACCCCTGAGCATCGCTGGGTATGACCCAAAAAGAAAAAAAAAAGGGGGGAGGTCAGGCTATCTCTCCTCCTGCTGAATCTTGAGCTAAGTAGTGTTGACACAATAGCAAAACCTTGTACCTTGTTATAAGGTGGACAGCAAAGAGGCCTTTACTGATGAAGTGGTAAAAACAAAGAGCAAAAGGATGTGGGGTTCTGCAGAGCAGAGGGGTCAGCAGGGCCTCGGGATTTAGGGACGGATCGAATGTGAATCCCTACTCCAGCCCTCTCCAGCTGTGTGACCAGTTTTGGGGGTTCAGTTACCCCCTCTCTGATTATTTAGCCTCGGGATAGTGAGCCATTCTCAGTGTTGGGCTGGAATAAAGACAGGGTCTACCCTCCTCCAGAAAGCCCGCCCTGCTCTCTGTACTACTGCTCTGCCCCAAGAGGTTTTGTTTAAAAAACAAAAACAAATAAACTGGTGTGTGCGTGTGTGTGTGTGTGTGTGTGTGTGTGTGTGTGTGTGCGCGTGTGTGTGTTTACTCCCAGTGGTGCTCAGGGCTTCCTCCAGATTGTACTCAGGAATTACTCCTGGTGAGGCTCAGGGGACCATATGGGGTGCTGGGGATTGAACCTGGGTTTGCTACATGCAAGGCAAATGTCTGACCCACAGTACTATCACTCTGGCCACCCCCACGAGCGATAGCACAGCGGGTAGGGCGTTCGCCTTACAAGCGGCCAACATGGCCGACCCGAGTTCGATTCCTCCGCCCCTCTCGGAGAGCCCGGCAAGCTACCGAGAGTATTGGATATGCCAGACACAGTAACAACAAAGTCTCCAATGGAGACGTTACTGGACCCGCTCGAGCAAATTGACGATCAACGGGAGGGCCTTTACCTTTACCTTTAAACTTAATAAGGCTTTTGTTGTTAGACTAGGAATGGTGTTGAATCTCGGCTAAATGATGACTTGGGTTTTTTATTTCTTTTGGGAGGGTCGTACATTTGGCTATGCTCAGGGCTTACTTTTTGTTCTGCACTCAGGGATAACCCCAAGGATTCTGGGGCTTGAACTGGGGCCAGCTGCATGCAAGACACATGCCTCAATCCCTGTGCTGTCTCGCTGACCCCTGTGTTGTCATTTTTAACCAGAACTGATTTGTCAGTTGTTAATGCTTGCTTAAACTGTTAGTAGTACTCTGGGTACGGACCTCTGGAAAGAAATCAAGAACAAGGGGCTGGAGAGATAATCCAGCAGGTAGGGGGTAGGGAGTGCCCTTTGCATGCAGCTGAGGCTGGTTTGATCCCCGGCACCCTAGAAACTCCCCTCCCAGGAGTGGTCCCTGAGTGCAGAGCCTATGGAAGCTCTGAACACCGTCAGGTGTGGCCCCAGACCAACAAAACAGAATAAAAAACCTAATCAGGAATAAAACGTGAGCAAAAAGTTAGCTGGACACATGTTTATTTGAATTTTGGCAGGGAGGGGCACGCCCGTCAGTGCTCAGGGGCTATCCCAGCATGAGGCTTAGGCGGCAGTGTCAGCGCCGGGGGACCAAGCCCGGGGTTCTCGTAGACAAAGTGCGCGTGAGCCCTCGGAGCCATCGCCCCAACCCCCAAACACGACGGATGGTGGAGAAGCTTCCACAACCGCTGCTGTTCTCTCTCCTCAAAAACGCATCTCTGGCTTGGACTGAGGAGGGGCTGGGCTCGAGAGGGGGGGGTGGGGTCTCCTGGTCCCTTCTGGTCTTCACCAGCACTCCCCTTTAGAAAGTGGCGACTCTGCGGGGCTGCTCACACCTCCCGGTAGGCTTGGTGCCGGCCGACTGTCACAGAGCACTGAGAGGTGGCAGGAGTTTCTCGCTGCCTATGGTGGCTTGCTGAGGGGAGGAGACGGGGTAAAGGGGCTGCCCCGACCCCCCCAGGCTCACCTCTCGGCGCCGGGAGGCCCAGCAGCTCTGCTTGATCTTCCAGACCACCGCGGCCACCAGGAGCAGAGAGAGGAAGCAGCTGTGAAGAAGCAGACAGCCGAGTTACGCGCCCAGATCTGGCCGGCCGTGCACCCCACCTCAGAGCGGCAGGGAAGCCCCCCAGCCCGGCTCTCCCCTTCCCGGTGCCACCGCGGCGCCCCAGGAAGCAGAGTGGGGCAGGCTGGGGGCTTCCCTGCCTCGGCTTAGAGCAGCGCTTCTCAACCTTTCCCTGGACACCTGCCCGCCTTCCTGCCCTCGGCCCCCCGCCCCCAGTACGGATGGATTTTCGCCTGTGGCCCCTGGGGGACTATCCTGGGGGCCCACCTGGCCCCTGGCTGAGAAACGTTGCCCTCGACCATCCCGTCCTGACAAGGGAACTTGAGAGAGCCCCATGCTCTCCCAGGGCCTGGATCAGGATGGCCCAGCATGAGGGACCCCAAATTAGGAAAAGAACTCAAAGATAGTAATGATGGATAACAAGCATGCCAGAGAGTCCAAAATAGCCGACATTTCCTGCAAAGTGTAAAAATAAAAACAAAAACAAAATCGAGAAAAGCTAAGTTGGAAAGCAATAATCAGCTTTATATATAAAAGGACGAGGCCCACACAGAAGCAATGCATGATCTGTAATCACTTATGCACGACTGTATTTCCACAAAATAAACACAGGGAGTTTTCCATCGAATGAAATGATCCGCTCAAGCCAACAACACTCTCGAAAGTCAGAGAGGAAACAGAACTGGCAGGTCAAGGCCTGCGGTTCCAGGGTGCTCCTGGTCTGCCTCAGGTCGGGCAAAGCTCTTCTGATGGCAAAAAGAATGACTAACTTCAGAGGAAAGGGGAAATGAATCGAACAAGTAAATCTCTTCGATAACAGCTTGTAAATAATATCTGAAACGGCACTTACACACACACACACACGCACACACACACACACGCACATGCGCACGCACGCACGCACGCACGCACGCATGCACATGCCTGGCTTGGGGAAAGGGAGTTTCCTGCAGAGTGTGGTTCCAGAGCGTGACTCAGGGACTTGCGGGTCAAAGGCTCTGGGCCGGGCATGTGCAGGAGGGGACGACCGGGGCAGGGCAGCCCCAGGGAGAGTCGGGCTTGCTGGAGAGGAAGGGAAGGGGTCACGGCTCTCGGGGAGCCAGGCGGATGGAGAAAAGCAAAGAATCCTATGACCAAACTGGTGACCTTGCGCAGAGATCACCAGAAACCACACACCACTTGGCCGAGATGCACGAGGGCACAGCGCCCTCCTCTGGGCCCCTGGAGAGGTGCACTGCCCCTCCTTCACTTCCCCTCCTGCTGGGCGGGTCTCCCACTTACCTCACCCGGCTGATGTCCACCCTCCTCCTCCCCCTGTCACTCAGCTAGGTCTTGTTCCCAGCTCTCTGCACACCTGGCTAAACAGGCCACCAGGCCACTGACCCCAAGGGGCGGACCTTCCAAGCACGGTAAACAAACCTTGGGCACAAGCATGCTGGGGTGTAAACACTACGAAAGCAGAATGACGATCCCGGTCGGGTGGGTTCAGGCGTGCCAGGGGCCCTCCGAAGCAGGAAGGATCGGAGTGGATGGGCCTCAGTGCCTTAGGAGGGGTAGATGGATACCTGAGACAGGGGCCCTGGAATGCCTGCAGAAAGGCACTGGACAGTGGGGCTGCCTGTGAGTGCATGGCTGAAGTGGCGCGAGGGAGGCCCGAACTGCGGGTGGAGAGGTAAGTGGGGGGTGTGGACAAGGAAGGCCCCCGGCATTGCTAGGCTGCTGGGTCTTGCCGAGTGAAATGGGTGCCAGAGTGGATTTCTGAGCAGAGAAATGTCATGACTGAACGTTTACTGAGACCATTAGGGGAGCAATGGCAGAAGCAGGGAGAACCCACGTGGGTGAGATGGGGCTGGGGGCAGGTATGTGGAAGGTACTTAACTCCCAGAGAGGACTCAAAGGTGGAGAGCACAGGAGTTCCCGAAGGCTGGAGGGAGGGTGTGGAAGGAGTAGGGAAGAAGTCAGGCTGAAGATTCCACCAACAAATGGGACACCCTCCAGCCCAGGGGGAGGGGAGGAGGGAGCGAGGGTGTGTGTGTGTGTGTGTGTGTGTGAGAGAGAGAGAGAGAGAGAGAGAGAGAGAGAGAGAGAGAGCGAGAGAGAGAGAGAGAGAGAGAGCATCAACTGAAACATCCAACATCCAGCCAGGGGAGGGGGTGTGTATGTATGTGTATGGTAACCATCTATCAACTGGGATACCCCGCAGCCCAGGGCAGAGGGTGTGTGTGTGTGTGTGTGTGTGTGTGTGTTCGAGCCTGAAGGCTGGGTGTCAAGTTTCAGCTGAAGATGGTGTTTGGGAGTCACTGGGCATCCAATATATGAGGCATCTGATGTCATGAATTCAGGTGAGGTCACTGAGCAAGTGAATGTGAACACAGAAGACTGTCTTGGGGATCCCCACAGTGAGAGGCTGGGGAAGGAGGAATAGTTATGCAGAGCCTGGGAGGAGGAAACTTTCTCTTTTCTGATTTCTCTGTGCAATTCCTCTCTCTGTCATTTTCCTTCTAACAGAAACACACAGCAGGCAGCAAATGCAGAGGACAGCCGCCAAAGAGACTGGCTTCTGCATAAAAGCCCAAAGCAAACCAAATCACACCAAAAGCAAAAACACCAAGGGCTTCTCTGTGTTCATCTCTAGTACTGCATGGTCCCCCACGGGCTGCCAGGTGTGGCCCCAAGACAGCAACAAAAAAATGAGACTTGGTAACTTCCATGGTCCTTGTTCACTATGTGAGATTCTCTGCCCCCCAGAGATGTTCCCTGGAGACACGGCACGTCAAGGCACATGTGTCCAACCCTGGTTGGATTCCTGGCACCACAGGGCCTGCAGCACTGTCAGGGTGCCCAGGTAATCCTGATCGGGGTTTGGGAGCAGTCCCCTGACTCAAAGATGCTCCCTGACCAATACTGATGGTGTCCCTCAGTCCTGGGCTGGGGCTGGCAGCAGTCACTCTGAGCGCATATGTCAGGAATGTGGCACTCCTGCTAGCGGGAGCCGAGAAATTGGCACAATGCCTCTGCATTTCTGAGAAAGTGGGCTGTCCACGGCGACCCCCTGCCCACGCAATTTGCTGCCTGTGGTTCCCAGAACAGGGTGCTTCTTCTGAAGTCCTAGTTTGTGAACCGACGAGGTTTCTGGGCAGGACGGTGCGCTAGAAGTGGAAGGTGTGAATACAGATGGGCGAACAAAAATAGGGACGAGCAAAAGTGAGTGTCCCTCCCTGCAAAGGGCCAAATGACCATGGAGATATACAAGCCAAAGGGGCAACACTGGGGCAGGGTCCGAGCACAGGCCGTGATGCAGGAGGCACGGCAGCTCAAAACACCACCACCTCCACCAGACCCAAACAGCAACAGGAAAGAACTGTGCTGACTACCATGATGAAAAACAGTACAGTTCTGTAAGATCCAAGAACAGATGGAGACAATTTATTTAGTTGGGTGGTTCATGGGTGAAAATCTGGAGATCCTCTCAGCCTTTGTGTGTGTGTGTGTGTGTGCGCACGCGCGTGTGCATGTATTTGGAGAGAGGGTCGCAATTCTCAGTGCTCAGGGACTACATCTGGTTTGGTGCTCCGGAGACCATGGGTCACGGGAAATGACTCTGGGTCTCTTGCAACAAAGTATTCACCCCACTGAGCTATTCCCAGCCTGAAAGTAACCTATGCTTTTGGTGTGTGTGTGTGTGTGTGTGTGTGTGTGTGTGTGTGTGTGTGATGAGGTGGGTCTTTGTCAGGGGTTACTCCTGGTTCTGCATTCAGGAATCACTCCTGAATGAGACCATTTAGGATGCCGCGGATGGAACCTGGGTTGGCCGCATACAAGGCAAGTGCCCTACCCATTATACTATATTTTCACCTGGAAAGCACTTTAACAGGTTTGCTGAGATGTCATTCAGGAGTGTTTCGGATGCCAACGGTCACTCTTGGGAGGGAGGGACCTCAACAGGCTCAGGATCAGGGCTGGTTGCTAAAAACACTGGTCACTAGGTCACTAGATAAGGGGCTCATCTTTGTGGCATGACAAACATACCACCCCCACCCCACCCCCAGAGAAGGGGAGAGAACTGAGACCAGGGTCAGTGATTTCATCCATTGTGCCTAGATCAAGGAACCTTGCAAATAACACGGAAAGAAGATTTGGGGGAATTTCTGGAGGTGTCATGTAGAGAAGGAGCAGAGACGCTCTGTGTTCCGCCCCTCCCCGCCACCCTGCCCCATACGTTGCCACATACATTCCTTCCATCTTGCAGTTTCTGAGATGCAGCCTTTATAACAACCCTATGACCTTCATTTATTTATTAGTTTGGAGGCTAGCCCTGATGGTGCTCAGGGAATATGCTGGGCTCTGTATTTGGAGATTGCTCCCAGACAGGGACCATGTGGTGCCAGGGACCGAATGTGGACCTTTCCCACAAAACATGAGCCCCGAGGCTGGAGCAACAGTATAGCAGATAGGGTGCTTGCCTTGTACATGGCCAACCGGGTTCGATCCTGAGCACCACCAGGAGTAACTCCTGAATGCAGAGCTAGAAGCCCTGAGCTTCGCCGGGTGTGACCCCCCGCCAAAAAAAAAAAAAAAAAAAGAAAAGAAAAACAGAACCCAAACAAAACATGAGCCCAGCCCCTTTGAGTGATCTCTCTGGCCCTGAGACTATAAATCTTAAGTATGGTATTCTCCCGAATTGAGTTTTCCTAGCAAACTGCTGAGTCTAAATGGGGAAGGATGTCGTCACTGGTTGTCCCAAGTTTGTAGTCAGGTAGAAGTGTGGGTGGCATGGGGGAAAAGAAGCTTACTTCTGAGGGAAGCTGTGTCAGAGCTGCACCGGGAGGCTACCCCCACCTCACCCCTGGCCTCTGCTGAGCCACAGATATCAGCAAAGTCTGCAAGTGCTGGTCCTGGTCTGGAAAAGGCTGGGGGCTGAGGACCCTCAGGAGACAAACTCTAAGTGCACCTCTGCCCCCTAAACCCTCTGCATCTACTTTA